ACATCTTAATTCATGAAAGGAAGCTGTCCTGTATTAGTTTTATTAAACCTCAGCAAACCAGTGAAAAAAAATCCATATCAGTTTAATGAATCAATGAACCAACTTAACAGCTACATTATACTCATGAACCTTTAAGTATTAATTTTCATTTGTGAATTTTGATATACAGGTACAGTACTGTACTGTACCTGTATAATAATATCTTCAGGAAATGTGATTGGTTAAATGGGATGTCAGTAGTACAGTAGTACACATTACACTTTCCTCTCATCATTTTGCCTCAAGCCGTTTACATTTGTGAGTTCTATGTAATGCAAAGTGAACTTAAATCTAATATCTCTGAACATGTCATCTTTCCACACAAAGACTTGACTCATTGGCCTGCCAGAGAACATTTGTGAGCTATCTTACATCAGCCACAAGGGCCTGCAACCACCTTTTTACAGGCAAGTTGTGATGCGATACTGTACTATGCTATATTAAAAATAAAAAATAATCTTTTTTTATTTTCTGTTAAGCTGCCAATTGCAGCGAGGAGAAAAGAAAATTTGAAGCAAGGGATTGCACGGTTTACCTACTCTACCCTGACGCTTAGCATCAAAGAAATATTTTTTTTTATTTATATCATGTATGTACTGTATGTATCATATGCAGAAAAAACACAATATCACTTTGTGACAAAACAAAAATTTTATGAACAAAATTTGATTTTTTCTTGTTTAACGATTTATGGACACATTATAACTCAGGATTAGTAGATCTCTTCATATAAGTGAATTCAATTTTAAGAGAGGCTAGAAGGCATGACTAATCTACTGAAACAAACTCAAACTGTAGGTCACTGGACATGCTTCCTGATGGTGTTCATTCTTAGTTAAGTAAAATTTCTTAAGATCAATACAGTATATTAATAATTTGAAAACAAACTTACCCATATAAAAGCTTTTAAGAATTATTTAAATTCATGTATATGAACTGAGATCTCCCACTCCATATGTGAACTGATGGACTTCCACCAACTTGAGGTGAAAAATAAGAACTCCAGTCAACACCTTGTGTGAATTCAGGAATCACACCAAGACCATGTTACAAGTAGGAAGTCAGTGCACATTATGAATAGCTGAGGATTGCAGCCATCATTGACCAAACCTACCACAACACTGTGTGAAAGTTCCACAAACATGAGAACCCATGCCACAACTCCTTTCCTCCGTCATTCACTGCAGTTTGACACCAGAAGAGCATCAAACCTACAAGATCAGCCTCTCCTCCACTGTAAAAACTATCAAGACCCACTACCCAATGTCTCCATAATGTTCATTTTATACTTTCAGCATTTGGCTGCTGTGTTCTTCCAATAAACAAACCATTAAATATTACCCTAATGTTATTACTATAACACAAGCTTAATAAATTCATTTTGGTTGTACCTGTACTGTATATGTGAGGAGCTCTGGACCATAATCTGCTAAGTGCCAAAATATAAAATGGAGGAAAATACTTAGGTATTAATGTGACATAAATAAGTCGGTTCAGAGGACTCGCCCACATGTACAGGTTCCCAAATGGTTCTCTGACTTACCCAGGGGACAGAGGAGAGGTTGAGGAATACAATGCAATACATAACACATTTCAGTGATATAATATGGCTCTGAGCAGTTTATGGTCCAGAGCTACTCATTCACAAGATCACTGATACATATTGTGCCAAGTGATTTTAGGGAAAGAGCATGTAGCTGGCCTTTACATATTGACACGAGGTATATCAGATATGGAACCTTTTTATAGAAGGGAGTATGGCTGAGTTGAGATTATCTTTTACAGCAGTAGAAGTGTATGATTGGCAGGGATTGAAGTGAAAATCTGCAAGTACAAGCATAGGCAGTCTTCAGACTTATGTCAGGATATTTTTCTAGAAAATGTGGCGCAAGTCGAGATCACTTTTCCCAGAGAAAAATTTATACAATAAGGGGTTACGTTTTTGACCAAAGAACCGATATGCAACTTTTTATTTATTTGAATACAATAGCATATTTAATCAACTAGCAATCATATATACAGTAAGTACCGTACATAATAATTTAAAAAGTTCTTATCTTCGTTCTTCATAATTCCTGGCTTATTCAGACTTATAGTAATAGCAGTGAGAGTGGAAATTATTGCAGGAAATCTGAAAGTGAAGGAGCACCTTCTTCAGGGCCATGGAATTTGAAAGGGATCTTTTGAAATTTTGATGAACTTCTTTGGAGACTTTGGGGTTAATTTTGGTCATTTTTCCAAATTGTTTGCACAACAGTTGTAAAACCAAGGTTCAATTGCCTTTCAATTTCAGAGTTGAGTAATCCACTCTCGCTAAGTTTTATAATTTTTCTCTTCACTTCTAATATACTGTAATGACCTTTCTACTACATTTCTTAACACCATCATTTAAGCAGTGACTTCATTAGGTTGCAGACTGACTGGGTGACATGATTGTTTGTGTGCAGAACTGACACCCTCACCAGCATCATGCTGCAAGTGCAGGTCCAACTGCCATATTTACATGGATGGCGGCTGACAACCTGCTATAAGTGCAGGTCATTTCTCAGTACTTTGTACATGTACATTAAGCAGAAGGCTTAAAAGCATAACGAATAAATACATCTGTACAGTAACATGGAACACCTCCCCCTCACGAGAGGGACCCCCTGATAGGCTAGATGCCTGTCAGTTTAAAATAGGGTAACATGGGTTAAGTTTTCTATCCCATCATTTGACTGCAATGTTGTGAGAACCCATTCGATATGCCAAAGTATTGAACACATGCCAGTAGAGTAGCATACTGATGCTCTAACCATTACATTACCAAGGTGATGACAGAGAGGTGAACATCACACCAGAACATGACCAGTAATTTATAGGGATATAAAAGATCTCCCGGTTCTGGGGGAACTATTTAGCAGTGAAACTTTTAGCTGGCATGTGAATCTTTACTCCTCTACCTCACTGTCTCAGTGACTCACCAGACATATAAAGGTATACTTGGCAGAATATGACTTTGTTCTTTTCTACAATTAAGTTGTTGATGATACAACTCCTAATTCTGTTCTTTAAGATAAAATATACTTTGGATGAAACTCAAGTTTTATCTTACCCACAGGAACATGCAAAGTTTTACCTGAGACTAGTACTGTAGTGTACAGGTTGTCTTCATTTATTTCAAGGGTTTCATTCCTGTAAACCCTTGCTATGTATGAAATTGCAATATGTGAATAAGTTCTCCCATAAGAAACCATAAATTGAGGGAAATTTTGATAGTACTGTATACAGTGTTTGTGCTGCTTTTTTGTACAAAAAAAAAGATTAGAATAAAATAACAAAACATGAATGAAAGACAAATACAAGGTATCTTAAAAATGTACTTTTTAATAATTGTTGTACTTTTACTCATGATTTTTTGGGGCAGGCAGTGTGCTTGTCAAGCAACTTCTACCCATAATGCAATATACTTGGTGATTTCGTAATTACGTATGTATTTTGGATTTAGCAGTGTTGATGCATTTTTTTTTTAATTTAAAACTAATTCAGTGTATGATTTTTTGGAGACACCCTGTAGCGTATACCTATGAAATACAATTGAGAGGTGTGTGCCAGGGCTCTCTCAAGGTCAACTGTTGTTCCTTCACCACAATCATATTGTTTAATAATACAGGTACTGTATACTTTCTCTAAAATAACACGGTCTTGATACAAGGTGTGCTCGGCAGAGTATGGGTGGATCTTTTTGCTCTTTTTATGCTTAATTTGGGGTGATTCCTAAAGAAACAATTTAGTATTGCATATATGTAAGCAACTCTCACTATATGTACATAAAGCTGAACACAATGCCTCCTCTGGTAGCAGACTCCCATCATCTTTCTATGTATTAAAGTGCATGTGAAAGGTTGTTGTTGATTTCTGCTAAGCTGTAAGTAATTTGTGCAGGCTTGAATTTTTTTCTTACAATACCAGTGCGATAAAATGAAACACATGGTAATCAAATATTTCATCATTAAAATCAAATTGTGGGAATTCAAAACTGCAATATGTAAAATTTATATAAATGAAGACAACTTGTAATTATAAACTAACATACTGTTTGTAATCTGTACTCTCAAGTTTCAAATTTGAGGATCTGGTAAAAGTCATATTGTGAAAGGCTGTTACAAGTGCATTGAATATTCCTTAAGACTGGTTGAGAGAGATGGAATAAAGACAATGAAAATTTTGGTTCTCATCTGAATGGTAGCAAAAAGGCAATTAATTTATTTGTTTAGATCTGAAAGGTGACAAAAAGACTTATCAGACAATGACTCTGATGTGAAACTTGTAAAATGACAATAAGTGGCAATGACTTCCTAAGAAGGGTACCATATGTTAGATGATTACTGTACACTACAGAGAGCAATTATAAATTACACTTTGAAAGTATATACAGTTGAAGTGCAGTGAGTTTGGGGATATAGCAGCCACTGCAAAGGGAAACCAGCATTTGGGTGCAAGGATATGACTGCTATGTGTGCACGTATACCGGTAATGCAGGGTTGAATCTGAGTTTTGCAGGTAACAATGAAATTAGCATTGAAGCAACAAAATATAAATAAAGACAGGATGTGACATGCTAACACAGTCAAAGGTGTTGTGAGCATGAGAAATTCTGATAAATAAACAAAGAATTTGATGAACTAGTTACACACAACTGTATGCATGGGAAATGTGCCAACCCCCTTCAAGTCTACCTCTAAATTTACATAATCATATATGTAATCCTTATCCAACTTTCTCTACTCAAATAAGAATAAAGAAAAAAGAAAAAATACTGCTGCCAGCAATTTCTTTTTAACCTGCTTTGCATTATCTGGCAGCAGAAAACTTAATTTCCTCTTTGCTTTGGGTCCAAGTTTGAACTGAAGATTTGCATGGTATAACTTTGGTAAGAACTGTATGTACTGTACATTAGAAAACTAAAGAAAACAACTTGCTGCCATAGCAGATCATTTATTGTTAATATTCTATTTCCACATTTACACTTAAAAGATAAGACAACTCTATAAACAACAAAAATTAAGGAAAAGAATGAATGACAAAAATCAAAACAAGTAATGATCTGACAAGTTGGTATGGCATGATGATATACAGAACACAGGGGTGGAACACCAAATGGTAACATGATCAAGATCAAAGGAAGAGGTCAAATATTTTGTGCATCAAATCCTAACCATGCCTATCATTAAATATTGGATTAGTGCAACAAGGAATACAGAATATCATCAGGTCTTTAGGAAAACAGGTTTATATGGGTGCAACCTATTCCATAATGACTTGAGCTTGCAAAATATTACACAATCACAATCACCTGATGCACAATACAAAAACCATTCTTTGCCTCAACCAGTATTTGGCATAAAACATATTTATCAATGGCCATCTATGAACATAAAGATAAATTTTGCTTCAGCAACTTTGTATAGCTGTTTTCAGAAAAGAATGTCATCTTACATTCTTGCACTTGCCTCAGCAAACATATTAGTGACCTTATCCACTAACTTATTTTTTCTACTGCAAGAGTACAGCAGCCACAATTCTTGGTAGGGTAGAATTTTTTTGACAAATTTTAGTTTGTTAACCATTCCCTTAACACTCTCATAAAGCATCACAAAAAGTAAGCTTATATTATTTCAAACAGCTTTCTTTTTTAAACCAGCAAAGAGGCACTGGAGATACAGTAGAACTATTGTTACAATAAAGAAATTATTTAACTTCATGGGTACCAAAACATGATTCCTGATAATATTGGTGAGTTCCCTAAGAAAGAAGTGGGAAAGAAACTGTCAAGTAAGTGTCAAGTAGTACAAAGGACATCTGAGTGACATTCTAGAAAGAAAGACTAAAAGCGCTATTGACAAAAGCATGCTAGAAATTTATAACATTTAGTCACCTCTCCTTATCTAGACTCCATTGTGGTGTGTATGCAAGTTTTATATTCTAAAACTATTTTACAAGATATTAATCAAAATATATGTATGAAGGAAGGAAAAGCAAGAACAAGAATATATATATATATATATATATATATATATATATATATATATATATATATATATATATATATATATATATATATATATATATATATATATATATATATATATATATATATATATATATATGTGAGCAAAAATTATTTTTGTGTATGCACAAGGAGTTCATGCTTCCAGAAGGCATGCTTACACGTTCATGGGGTGTGCGCACCTGAGGAATTATTTTTGTGATCCCGTTAGTATGATGATGCAGCAGGTAATTTTTAAACGTCTTGATAACCTATGGAAATGTATGTGTAGCTTTACCAATGGATAGTATTAAAAGAACAAACCTCCCCTCCCCCTAAAAGCTAAATTATGCAAATAAAGCACCTACTACTATAGCAATTTGACTGAAAACACTTTAAATAATAAATTACCTTTAGGACCATTAACACCGTATGTAACAAATCTGAGAATAAGAAAAAAAAATCAGAGCAACTCAACCCAGAGTAATAAACCAAGTATTCCTGATACAGTAACAACAAAAGGGAAAGAATTTAGTTCTTACTACAGGATTTTGAGTTTAACAAAATATCAACTGAGGAATGGGTGAGGAAGGCAACAGAGGGAAGGAGACACACAAACACCAAGAATGGAATGTGTAAGTAAACTTGTGAATGAGAGTTGGAAAAGAAAATGAGTAACCATGATGCCTTACAAATTTTTCTTCATGCACAATGAAGTACAGTGTACAGCTTTTAATGTAAAACAAGAACAATCCTTGTAATTACAATGAGGTGAGAGGTCAGCTAGTGCATGTTAGTATTTCCCAATGGAAAAATTCCAGTATCTGCAACACCAACAGCACCATGAAGTGTAGAGCACAGTTAGCCAAAGAAGCTCATTGAAAATTTTCACTTTTAATCAACTAGGTTAGGTTACATATATACAGATGTATCTTCAATACTTCATAGGTATTCATATTTATGTTAAAAATATAATTTTCAAATAAAGAACTACTGTAGATAAGGACTGCAAATAACTACTTTATAGCAATGCCTCCCTCTCATCACCTTTTACTATTCTAACCAGATGTATATGTTGGCTGTAATCACCTCACACCAGTTTTAATGTGCATAAAATATACTCTTATGTACTCTTAATGTACCCATAGAATCATATTTCTAGTTCAACATGATGTGCAATAACAGTAATAATAATAATAATAATGATAAAATAAAAATAATTTACTTGCCCTTTTAGTCTGGGCTCGGCTTGGCATTATGGGGGACGGATAAGTGAGAGGTGACTGTTTCATAAACCTGGAGAGGAAGTTCATTTGAAGTTACACATTTAATATTAAACAATGGTGTTCAGCCCTTCTTGGAAAAAACACGATGCAATACATGTCAATTTAGTCGTTTCAATATGATTAATTAATGACACCACAGTTCCTGGAATGTAATACAACAAAAACTTAAAAGAAAGACAGAATGACTGAAAAAAATGGAAAATATCTAAGGCAAGAAGTCACAAGTCTTTCTACAGGAATGCACTCCTCTGCCTTCACCAACCAGTCTATGGTGTAGGATTGGAAAGGAAAGGATGTAAAACCCAAGTTGCTTCCACTATGTATGTGACATCATCAATGATGTCAAACATAATTTACCATAATGCCAAATTTATATTCTTTTATATAAATCATCCTTGACAAACCAATAATTATGACTAATTCACTGATTGATCACATAGCATACATTGGTTTTCACACAGCACGAAACATACAGAGGAAGTATTGTACCGAATGTGAATGTTGATAATGTAATGGAACTACAGAGTACGGGCGGCCACCACTGCAGGGCTACAAAAGGTGCCTGAACTGCAATGATAGTTATAATGTAAAAACTTGGCTTCTTATGGACTTACCAAGGTCACAAATGGCTTACCTCAGTGTCACTTAAATATTACATGTACTGTAATCCAACATACCTAATTCTAGGTCACATTATACCTGCGGCATTTTGTGTTTTCACGAAGAAAAAACATTGAGCAGTTTCTCATACTATCAAAATAGAAATGGTAGCTTTGGAAGCAACTCAGTCATAGTCCATTCATATTTTCAAAAATACAAGAATCAAGAATGAGATACATTTTAACAGTGCTTCAGACCCACCTAACAAAAGGTTATACATATTCATGTCTTTACAAGGCTTATACACTTAATCATTTATTGTGACTGCCAGTAAAGCCTAATAATACATAGTGGCTTGTCTAATGTTAGCCTTCTATATTACAATAATTATCATCTCACAGCATCTTGGGTTCCTAACATCTAGGGTAAGACAGCACCGAAATAAAATTTAATGGGATGATGTGACAGGTTTGTGGGTAGGGAGGTTTGAAAAATAAGAAATCTAGTATGTAATTGGCATATTCCATTCCCTGTACAACACACAATAATAGATCATTTCCACTGTGTTATATAAAAAAAAAAATAAGTCTTAGTGAAGTACTTAACAGGGTTCAGGTTAGCCAATTGTGACATGTAGTGATATGTGCCTGGGATGCACTGGCGGTAACAAAAGATGGTGATACAAATGACATGAGATTGAGGTAGGATGAGTAATTGATGAGGGCTGAGGGGAACAAGGATGAGTTGGGTTTGTGAGGGTAAAATAATAAGTTGTCTATTAAATTATTGAAGAATAAGATGAATCCTTTCTTCCTTATTTATGCATGATAAGAGATTATAATATGAATTTGAAATATCACTTTCAGAATATGTGAAGGTTATGACTGCTTATGCAATAATGATGAATAAAAATAATAATCATGATTATGGATAATAGAGCATTAAAATTTACAGGATACAATATTATTAGAACACTAGTTAAATATTATTTTTGTGGAGGTTCAAAGCTCTGATTCCTGTTTCATAATCCAAGTTGTAGGAGTTAAACGAGGTAAATATGAACTGGGCAAGAACAATCTCCTAAAGAGGATCTTCACTACACTGATCCCCTTCATCATGACAAGTGACTTCAGTTGAAAAATGAAAGTGGGTATGAAATATGGCAAGGGCAGAATAAGTTAACTGAAATTCTTGAGAAATATGTTCCCTTTTCATCATGCATTTAAAACTCTATATCATGAAGCAGTTTAAGATGATTAAGAGCAAGAACAATCATAAAAATGGATGATTATTAGGGCTCGGATTTTAGATTTACATTGTGGACCGAAATAATTTAATATGAAGAGTAGGGTAAGGATGTAAGGTGTGGTTTAGGGCAAGGTGTGTGGGGAAGGAGGGAGGAAGATCAACCAAAGGAGCACTGTTAGCACATCACTCATTCAATACACGGGCCTTTGGTCTACACAAGTTACATTATATAAGTGATGATCCATTAAACTGAGCCTGAGATAATAATTCAACAAGGCTCTGATTATGTGTGACACCAAAACAAGCCTCACAGGAATACTACTGCAGGACCTAATGCAATGATCGTAACATGCATAATGCTTGGCAATCACTACCACTTATCAGGGCTCTTGCTACTACATACAGCACATACATGCATACACTCATATGATGGTGAAAGTGACCTTGCTGTACTTCCTACACCCTGGAGAGCAGATCAATTTATGGCAATTTTATCAGACTTCACTAAATCAGTATCTAATGAGGAATCTGCAGTTATACTTCTAAAAATATTGTACAACATAATCTTCCAATAAACTCTGGTTATAACTATCTGAACATAGTAACACAACATATTCCACATGAGTCATCTAATGCTATCTGTTAAATGTTTATTACCTAAACTTTAATCCTTAAATCATTGCAGTACTGTACTACCTATATCAGGTTATTTAAAGTTTCTGGAAGAAGTCCAGTAAAATGCAACTCCTAATTCCTTTTAAACTCAAGAATGTCACTAATATCAGCTACAGAATAAACATCATCATATGAACTCTTGTTTGTGAGGTCATTAGTGACATTGGCCCTGCAAGATAATCTATCAAGGCTCACACTCGTTTCAGTTTGATAACAAACAACCTTTGTAAGAAACAAACTTTAGGTCTACAATATATCTTTACCATCACAGTAATGAAATGACTTTTGAGTTTTACTATTACACTGGCTTTTTCCATAATTAAAAAAAAAAGGGGGGGAGGGGGGGGCATGCCTATTTATGAACACAAATGGGTATTCACAATCACTGCAATATAATTTTAACATACATTAAATATAAGAAAGTAATGATTTTTTGGCAATCATTCATGTCAAGAGGTATTTGGTAAGATGCTCAAACATTTCCTGGAACCTACATAAGGATTACTATTGCATCAATAATACAACTGCTGTAATGTGAAAGTTAAATTTGCTGTATAACAACAAATTTTGGATTAGTATTTATATATATCATAAGAATGGAGAGGTCCACTCTAGAACATTTGAATATTACTCACTCCTTGCATCTCACTGACTCATCATTGAACTACTGGAAAAGAAGAATCCACTCATACAGGTACCTAACATCACCACAGTGAGCATAATGCATTCAGAAGTATAATAAGGGCAGGCAAGTCTACTGATATGGCCCATAGCTGCATAGAAGAAGAGATTATCTTTCATAAGTAAGTTGTCAAAACATCCACACCTCCCATTAAGTGTTAAACAGACATGCCCGTACAAACCTATAAACTTTTGTTCTCATGAGGTTGTGAATGTAAAAGTTTACAAGAGATATTAATCCAGTTTAGATAATATGACAAAGACAATCGTATCTCTTCTCTCTTTGACCTAATTAACAAGAATTTAAATTATGCAGGACATAACATTTATACTTTTGAATATATTTCACTGTATAAAAAAGTATACATGGGCAATAGCATTGGTGCTCTGAATAATCAAGATTCTAGTTTACTCAGTCTTGAATGGGTGAAGCATTACTGTATTGCATCTTGATTCTAGTTCTCTGGGCTTGATAACTGGCCAATCTGACAACTGCACACTTCCTAAAGTCATTCAAGCTCATTTGACAACAGTGCATTTTTGTATAAACTTATTACTGTATATGCTAAAAAGTGCATAGTCAAACTATACTGTGAAGATCTCTGGATATTTCTCCAGTGCTTAATTTGAGTTTTGCACAAGTCAAAAAATATCAGAAAAATCTGTGTTACTGTACATCATCACAATAATGAAATATGTTTGGCTCATTTATTTTTGATCTGTAAAATTCAAATATCCTTTGCTGAAAGTAAAATATAAGTTACAACCTATGAACTTAAAATTTTCAGTGACATTTTGTCTAAGTCATAGTATTAGGTACATACATTTGACATTGGTTTTAGTTATTAAAACTAAGACAAACCTTATCAATGTTATTTCAACTTTGGTTTTTTTAATAAGCAAGCTAAATTAAGTTTTAACCAAACTGTAAATAAGTCAGACATCTCAAATGTTCTTTTAATTTGTTTCCTTTGCTAGGTAGGCTGAGTGACACTGAAACATAACATTTTTTTTTTTTATGAAATTAAAACCTTTTATAAATTAATGACCTCCTGAGTCAAGGAAATATGATCAAGATGCATTACTTCGGCACCAGACTATATTGCCACCTATCTGGGTCACTAAAGAACCCTGGTAATGAAAGTCTATTTTCTACCACCTTCGCGATTATCTTGGGCACCTAGTTTACAAAGGCAGCTATCTCATGATCTAGCTCGTAGTGGCAGCCAACTCTGGGGACGTAGTGAGATAGTCATCTGCTCGCTTGTGATCGCTCAAAGCCTTGATTGTATACTGGTCATGCGGTAGCTCACTCTTCCTTCGCAGTAATGGCTTCTCTTTATTGCGCACTTTTTTCACTTGCTGTGAAAATTGAAAATAATATACAATGTAGAAATTTTTTGGTGGAAGCAATGTCTTAAAAATAAAACATCACAAAAATATAGACAGACACACATTAAATGTGCACCATTTTATCATCCACAGTAGCCAGTATTGAGTATCCACAGTTTCCATACAATATAACACTGAGTGAGGGGGCATAAGGGCTGCCTTGCTTGGCTACTCACTCTTATTAGCCCAAAATACCCAGTGGAGTTCATGCATTGCTACACTAGTAGATACAGGTTTATACACCCATCTCTGCAGGTCACATAAAACAGAATTTATCTTGCTCAAACCGAAAGTGTTAAGAGTCTTCACAGTATAAAGAAACCACACGATGTGGAGAACCACAAAACTAGGGTCACTTATAGTACTTGTTTTTTCTTTCTCCCTCTTTTTTGTAACTTGTACTTTTAATGTGATAGTCATTGAAAGTCTTTGTAACACTATTGGCAATACACTTCACATCTTAATACAGATTTTTTTCTTCACTTTGCCAGTCTTTTTTGCTGCACTGATACAAGGTGACCATAACCTAGAGAAAAGTAATGATAAAATGTGGGTTGAATCTGTAAATTGTCAAATTTACGTGCCACCAATGTTAAAATGGTATTAAAGAACTATACAGAGATTAATGACAGCCAGAAATGATGAGCATTTCCTATATTCCCCTTCCATACCATACAGTTCACAAACAACTCTTAACATTGTTACCTTCTCTTCTAAGATTACTTGATAACAGAGTAAAAAAAAAAAGAAGAGAACTGCAAATAAAATTTTTCTTAAAAAGAAAGGACTTAATATCTCACATTTAAAAGTATCATCTTAAAATATCATTAAATACATATTCAAATTAACATCCCATTAGTCTCAAGCTCATGTAATTTTGGTGGAATCAAATAATTTACCTCTGTAGCTTCACCTCCAATATTGTCTGGGTTGAAATCATTGTCACTATCATCTTGAGGGGAAGCCATTAAAGATGAACGAGACCCAAAGATGTTGTTGCTTTCAGCTGAATATTTATCAAACAGTGGATTTTGTACAGCTAAACCTTCTATGTGCTGCCATGCCTCCTCTCGCTCTCGCATTTTTTCTTTTTCTCTGTGAAATCAAATTCATATGTACAGTACTGTAGATGTATTTTACAGGTGAATGAAGAAAATTTAACACTTTGAGGCCACTTAGTAGTCAGTAAGAGCTACATAGTTAAAAAAAAAAATTAAAGGAAATACTTGGATGGGAAATGCTGCATGTAGAAAAAATTCAATGGTAATTATTATATTTAATTAGGAGGCTGACATTCTTTCCCTGATATATGCCCTCTTTGCCATAACAACATTGTGATCCCCAATTGGGGTCTACACAACATCACTCATAAACTGTTAATAGAGAAGCTATTTCTTCTTTACCAAGCTTTATCTCTACCCCTTACTTTTCCTCCTAGTTATTGCTAGTTATTGTCGTATTTTTCACTACGTTTACTTTCCTGTGTACAGTATTACCCCGCTTTACGCGGTTTCACTTTACGCGATTTCTCATATACGCGGTCCCTCGCCAGAACCGAACTTTCACTTTCCGCGGTTCATCTACCCATATACGCGAGAAGTATAATTTCTTTTTTTATTTAGCTCATAAAATTCATACAAATTACCCGGCCAGAATATAATTTACATTGCTGGAATTCTTACAATTTGATGATCATTTTGAATATACTGTAAACATCATAGATTTTGCATTAGACATACAAATTTTAGATCTAATGTTTACTCTGAGTAAATATGTTATCTTTTGTGCAAAATATATGACATTTATATTCAAAATATTCCTGGTCTTACAAGGAATCCAGCAATGTCAATTATATTATCCTAACTTTAGTCTGAGGTATTATTTATTACTAAAAAGGTAAATATTCTGGTTTTCCCACACATTTATCTGGTAGGGAGGGTTGGTGGGGGTGGGGGGGAGGGAGGGACCGACCGACCATCTGGCACGGTGTGAAGAATATTTTTTTTTTATTAACTGAAGATATTTGTTTTAGCTCATAAAATTCATACAAATTACCCGGCCAGAATATAATTTACATTGCTGGAATTCTTACAATTTGATGATCATTATGAATATAAACATCATAGATTTTGCATTAGACATACAAATTTTAGATCTAATGTTTACTCTGAGTAAATATGTTATCTTTTGTGCAAAATATATGACATTTATATTCAAAATGTTCCTGGTCTTACAAAGAATCCAGCAAGGTCAATTATATTATCCTAACTTTAGTCTGAGGTATTATTTGTCACTAAAAGTTAAAATTAGTTTCTTCACCCAACATTTCTCTGGTAGGGAGGGAAGGTGGGGGTGGGGGGGAGGGTTGGGACCGACTGACTATCTGGCCCGGTTGGAAGAGGGGGGAGGCAAGTTGGGGTACTTTGATTGACAGATAGTGTCGTGAAGAATATTTTTTTTTTTATTAACTGAAGATATTTGTTTTAGCTCATAAAATTCATACAAATTACTGGACCAGAATATAATTTACATTGCTGGAATTCTTACAATATGATGATCATTTTGAATATAAACATCATGGATTTTGCATTAGACAAAAATTTTAGATCTAATGTAATAATTTGGTTTACACAAAGCAAGTATTTTATCTTTTGTGCTAAATATTTGAAGTTTACATTCAAAATATTCCCTGACCTGCAAGGAATCCAGAAATGTCAATTATATTATCCTAACTTTAGTCTGAGGAATTATTTATTACTAAACGTTAAAATCTAGTGTTTCACCCAATCATTTCTCAGAGAGGTAGGGGCCAGTGAGCTGGGAAGAGGGGGGGGGGTGAGATTTGAGTCTACTATTTGAATGGACATTAACCTGGCGACTGTATTTCTCTTAAATATTAATTGTGTGAGCATGCCATCATAAAATTTAATGTTATTTTTACTACAACATAGGTATTGTGTCGGAAAAAGTGGAGTTTGGGGGTCAGGCCAGTCTCTATTGGAATTAATCCCATATGTTCTGTTGTTCCATTTACGCGGATTTCTCTTTCCGCGGTTCCCTGTGGGTTCAATTGACCGCGTAAATCGGGGTACTACTGTATACATGTAACATTCCTTTCACATATTTTCATCTAGACTTCTAATGTGACTTCAACATTTCTCAAATGTTTCACAACTATTTCCTTTGCTCAATAAGTTGATGAATTGATAAGGCTTCCATACTAATTTAATCTTCCAATTAAAAAAAAAATCTTTCTACTGTGCACCCTAACTTCTTATTCTTCTGATACTGTGAAATAATGCTGTAATAGCTTGGTTGGTAATACCTGTAATTCCTCTAACTAGACAGAGTTGGTGGGGTGTTATTTACTACTATGGTCACTGATCATGTCAAGGCTCTGAGCTAAGGTACTCATTCTCATCTGGGGGTTACTACCCCACAAATTGTGAGTACAGTGTTCCCTCGGTTAACGAGATTTCGGTTAACGAGTTACCTTCCATAAGATTCTTAACTTCGGTTAACGAGCAATCCCTCGATTAACGAGTTTCTTCAAGCCGACCTCCACATGTTTTAGCTTGCATTTGGCAGTCCACCAGCTGTAGTATTAGTCCGCCAATACAGTAATCGGTTCTAGGGCTTAAATTCCTTACCCTTTTAGTAAATATCAAGAAGTTTATACTATTCAATAGTTTTAAAAGTTTAATATTAAATTTTTTAGTCATTTTTACAATTATTGAATATAATTGAAGGTAGGGTCACTAGTTTGTGGCATGCCATCCAGCCTGCCAACACAGCATACAGGCGTCAGTCTTTGTGTCTTTTCAGTGGAGGTAACATCTTGCTTGAGACTTTCTTCAACTAAATGCTTTTTTCTGTGTTTGCAAGCAAATTATTGGTCATTTTGAAATTCATTTTACATATTGGCAATATATAATGCAGTGCAGTGTTGATTTAAAGAAAATAATCTTGAATTACACCAAGAGAACTAAAATTTTATGGGTGAAATGGCGCCATGGGGTGACTTCTCTTCCACCCCAATGCCTTCTCTTCTCCCTTCTCCTCCACCTCCATTCTAATTCCTATCATCATCATCATCCAGAAGCCTTCTACATACACACCTCAAAGTAAGTGTACTTTTCTACCTTTTTTGTTGAATTTAGGCAATTTTCGGTGAGCTGGAACCAATTACCCAAAAACCCATTGAAACAATGGTTTCGGTTAACGAGCAACCTTCTAGAACGGATTGTGTTCGTTAACCGAGGGACCACTGTTCTGTGAAGAATGTAATTTAGTGAACTTCTTTAAAAAAAAAAAAATGCCCTGAAAACTATATATTACAGAGTACACCTTGTTAGAAACCAGTATGTGCACTAACAGATCACTCCTGAGAATTTTGCAAGTTAAGCAAGCAATCACCCAGGCTGACAGCAGTTTGAAACATTTAAATTTACAGTATGGAGTTTGCAATGATATTACTGCAAAAGATGAAAAATGTTACTATATATGTCCACACAATCAAAAAAATATCTTTTTAAGTTTGTGGTGGACAATACGGCACAACAGAGACAACAGGAGTTGCAGTGTTCATTTCAAAATTCATCAAACCCTTACATTAAGATACTTTTTTTATTGTGTAAATTAAATCTTTCAAAATCCTCTCTAGTTACTTCCAAACAATCCTTTTTACATAACATATTGAAACTGAATCTTCACTCCTGTACTGAGCCCAAGTAACTATAGTATGATCTTTAAAAAATTTAATCAAAATATTAAGGTATGATACTTACTTTTGTCGTTCTGCTTTGTACTGCTGAGTACACTCATCAAACAGCTTTTGGTTCATCTCCATAAACAATTTTAATGCATTGTAAATCAACCCATGTATGGTCCTGAAATAAAAGAGAAATAAATAAGAACTTTTAATCACATTATATACTAAATTTACTGGTTCTCTACTACAAGTACATCCCTTTGAATAATGAGCTCTTGTATTCACTCCATCCCTGTGGATGAGCGGGCAGCTGACAAATGGCTGTACAGTATTTCCTCGATTTAACAAACTAATTCAAGCCACCCCTTTCTGTTAAATCGAAATTTCCGCTAAACCGAACTATTTTTTATTTTCACTTCCGTTAAATTTCGTGCCAAATGTGCAGCTTGGCACGAGGGGTTTGTTTGCATCCGTTCAGTCTGTGTCCTGCCGCCATTGTGTGTGTTGTTCACTGCTACCTCTCAGTCAACTAACTACTGTGTTGAGACATCAAGCCGTAAGTCTCTCAGAGGTCTCAGAAAGGAAATGGTGTGGGGGAGAAAATCAAAAGAGTGCAGCTATCAATTGGAAAAAATGTTTGGAAATTATATAACTGAAAAACCAACACCAAACCCCCTAGTTTAAGGTAAGCCATGAACAATGTTTCCATGTACCGTATTTTACGGCCTATAAGACGCATGGCCATATAAGACATTTTAGCAGGGAGTATTTAGGAAAAAACTTTTGTGTATATTTTCCTCCTGTAGCCATAGTTTTCTTAAAATAATATATACAGTAGAGCGTACCAGTAAATGTGAGGAATAAATAAAAATAATACCAATAAATAAGGTACCAAAAAAATTAAAATATGTAAATAATATTGCCAAACCAATAAATAAAAGCCAAATGAATGTTAAATGAATGTTTTACACAGTTGTCATTTGCATATAGTCCCTGGCTCACCATAACAACGCAGACACCACCTCCGCCGATCCCCAAGCAACACGCCTCCCCCCACCCCCCCCAAATCTCCCACCTGCACCCACTCCTCGACTGAGTTAGCCAGATAACTCATGTGTAAAGAAATGTATAAATGTATATTCCCTTTACATGTTTCCCCTTAGGACAATTATTTGGTTTACTTTTTCACAACATGTATGTAGGATGGTGTGTGCGTGTAACTGAGTAAAAATAAATGAAGAAAGTTACGCATATCTATCCAAAAATACGAGATGAAAAACAACCATAACACCAGTAGCCTGGTGGTTATAGTGATGAGTCTAACCTGGCTACAATGCTGCCAGCGATGTTAACAGACACAAATGTGAAAGAGTTATATGTAAATCTTCATTTGTATCAGGTATTTGTAAATTTAAAAATTAATGTTACAGGTATGGCATTTATAGATTGTATTGACTGTCAGAGTTCAGAAATGGTTACTGCTTAGCTACCTCTGAAGAGTTGGGTGTCTGCCATACGGACGTTAATCGTCTCATGTTATCATCATTAGTACAGTACTGTAGTTATAAACCAAGCTTTTATATTTACAATACCTGTAATTATTTTTTATATAATTAAAATTAATAATAAAGTGCTTAAGTAAGCATAACATATTTAATTCTGGAGTTGCATTAGGTAGAATTTAGCCTACTGGAGACAGCAACTGGGTGATTTATTAGCTTACAGGAGACCTCAACGTCACAGACTGTATAGGACGCAGGTTTTTTTTTTATACATAAAAAAAGCGCGTCGTACATACAGTACCATAAAATGCGGTACATATCGTGTGTCAGAGGTGTCTCTGTAGGTGTGAGCGTATTCACAGAATTAATCTCGATTTAGCGAACTAGTTCACTTAATCGCGTGAAAAATATCAGTGGTGGAATTGCATAAATAGGTGTTAAAGGAATCTTGTGGGAGTTAGGTGGAGGGAGCCATTCACCTTTGCTACACCCCCTTCCCTCTGCCAGCTGCTCACAGATAAACATTTGTCTTCCACATACAATGTATTCCTTCACTTATTTGTTTTTATTTTTATCTTTATAGCACTGTACAATATACGGTTTTCTCTTTATTCATAAGACATATTCTGTGGTTATTTCCAAATAACACTTTACAGTAAATAACAATCATCTCGGTGACAACCAGGGCCGGTATACACAAAACTTTTAAGTGCTAGCAAACAGTTGTTAAGGCTGAAGTTTTCCTGTTAAGCACTAATAGAACTTACACAAAACTTTTAAGGGCCTTAATAGTACTGATTAGTTAAAAAACCTCGGGAGCACTTTTAAGTCCCGTAATAGTCGTCTGTTAGTTAATACCATGACGAACCATCAACATCAACACCAGCGGCAAAGCATTTATCGGGAAAAGAGACATATATTTAATGAAAATAGTGTGTATATATTAAATATAGTGTGAATATATTGTGTGTATTCCCTCTTTATAGCCGAGATCTTCTTTCTTGACTTGCACAATACTGAGAACCAGGGTGTCTCACACTCTGCCACTGACCTCACCACACCAGGAAATGCAGCATTAACTCTCCTGGTGATTTCCAGCCATACCCTCTTTGGTTATTTTTTGTTAACCACCCATCACCTTTTATCACATGAAAAATATATTTTTTTGCAAGTTTTCTTGCTATTTTATAGGATTCTGTCATTTATCTTTGGGGCAAAAAACTTTTTTTTTTAGTTAGGTTAGGTCAGGTTAGGACGTGGCCTGTTACGTTAGGTAACCTAACCTAAAACAAAGGTTAGGTTAGATTGGGTTAGGTTACCTGACCTAACAGGCCATGACCTAACCTCCTAACCTAACTAAAAAAAAGGTGATGGGTGGTTAACAAAACGAGAGCAACGCTGCGTGTCACCATAACAACAAATTGGGACTTGGAAATTTATTTTTATTTTACAAGTAATAAATCGCGAATATCACATTTATTTTTGGAATGCGCCGCTTAACTGAAGTATATTTTTTCGTTACTCGATGAGATCTACAACATGGTAAAAAAAAAAAAAAAAAAGTTGATGGGTTGAAAACAAAAAATAACCACCTCATTTTTTTCTTTATTATTCAGGAAAGCCTTCAAGCAGCCATTCAATAATAACTTTTTCTTTTCAATGGCATCCACCAATAATAAAGTCTGGTCTGCTGTCCAGTTAGGCTTCCTTTTCTTTCATGGTGTTGAGACTTCCATTTCCTCAATAACACGATTGTTTACAAACAGCACGGCAAGGAAACGCCGCCGATCAATATCCTTGGTTAATAAATCCTCCTTCAAACTTCATAGATTAGATTTTTTTATTTTAATGATCAAAATGTATGTATATAGATGCAAATACCCTATATTGAGATTAATCTTCATAATTTTATTGAGGTTATTAAGCCATAAGACCATTTTATATGATGAACTCCTGCAATCTTTAGCACTATTTAGCGGTACTTAACAAACAAATATTTGTGCGGTAAAAGTTTGCAAGTTAAGCTTTGTGTATAACTTTTAAATTTTACTACTAGCTAACAATACTATTTTGTCATTAGCATAAAAGTTTTGAGTATATGGGCCAAGACTTATATGTGTGATTTTCAACCCAGAGAGTTCTGTTTCATATTTTTTTCTAGTTGATGTAATATTCTTTTAATAACCTTGTTATACAATTAAAGACCTTAGTTGTTGAAGTGCAGTAATAACATATACACAATAAACCCTCGAAGATCCGGACTAAAAGAGAAGGGGGGGACTACCTGTCCAAATCTTTCGGAGAATGTACTAAATGTGTAAAACGATAACTAATGATATAAAAAACACCAAAAAATACAGTACGTATTATCCTGACCACTGAGGTTAGTTATACAGACCTTTTCCTGTGAAAAAGCCATAATTTTTAGCAACATATTACTGTACTCACTTTGTACTCATATGTTCTACGCTAAAGGACTAAACTTTTATCTCTTGTTCAAACTATGTGATGTACATACAGTACTCATATTATTCCCTATCTTGCAAGGATTCCAGCAAGTTATATTCTGCTAAGTTTAGTCTGTGACATTTATAAGATAAAAACTTTAAGCCTAAAACCAGCTTCACCCTGGCTGGGAGGAGGGGGGAAGGCCGAGGGGGAGGCGAGGTGTTGACACAGTCGGCAGCGAAGGTTACCTAGTGGTATTTATTTATCTGTCACTGAATTGACTTGGCAGAATATAACTTACATTGCTGGAATTCTTATAAGATAGTGATTAATATGAATATAAACATCCTATAGTTTGCACTAGACATAAAAATTTTGGTAATTATTTAGTACATTTGAGTACAGATTTGCCCTTAAGACAATTATTTCTTTTATTTTTTTCACAATATGCATTTAGGATGGTGTGCGCATGAAAATAAGTAAAAATAAATTAAGAAAGTTATGCATATCTACCCAAAAATACGAGTTGAAATTATCTGCCACAGCAATGCAGTGAGAGAGAGAGAGAGAGAGAGAGAGAGAGAGAGAGTGTGAGTGTGTGTGTGTGTGTGTGTGTGTGTGTGTGTGTAATAATAATAATATAATAATAATAATAATAATAATAATAATAATAATAATAACGGTTTATTGAAAAGTTTGCAGCCAAGGCTGAAAATATACCTTGGACATACAGGTGCTCCCCGACTTACGACGGGGTTAGGGACCCAAATCCAGGTCGTAAGTCCGACATGGTCAATCTACAATGAAATACAGTACAGTAAAAGTAATAAATAATGAGGAATGGATACAGTGTGACTGAGCACTTACCTTTAATGTAGTCAGCTGAATGCACACGGGCCCCACATAATTTTCTATTAACAGGATACATGGAGACTATATTAATTGGATAAAGCAGAGGAGGAGACAGGGCTGGGTGGGTCATCAATGTCGCTTTCTTCAGACAGGTTTATGTACTGTGGAAACTTGTTGGTTGAAGGTATTGGATCATCTTGAGGGAGTGAAGAGGCAGCACTGGTGGGGCGTGAGGAGACAGCACTGGGGGACTTCTTAAAATAGATGTCAAATTTAGACTGCACAGTTTGTTTTTTCTTTTCATTAAAATTTCTCTGTAACAAGCAAGTGCTTCTTGGATCATTCTGTCAACTTTGGCATAACGCTCATAATTTTGATCCATGCCATAAAACATTTGCATTCCTTTATTAATTGTAGCAAATGCCTCTGCCATTTGTTTCACTGAAAATTTTTTGGGGGATGCAGGTTCTTCTTCTACATTTTCTCTCTCTTCTTCCTCTGCAATTTTCTGTGCATCTAGTTCAATAAGATCCTCGTTACTAAGCTCTTCTGCTACACTTTCAACCAACTGTTCAACATCTTCATTATCAATTTCTAACTCCAGCTGTTTACCTAACTCCACTATCTTGTTACTAATATCCAAAATAACTTCATTTTCATTAACTCCTTTGAAACTGTATGTCCGCTCAGGCATGCGCTTCCACAATAATCCAGTCTCATCCACATTGAATATTTGCTCAGGCAAATAATTCCCTTCCACAATCCCTTCATCTAACTCCTCCTTAAAAGATTCAGCAGCACCAACATCGGCACTAGCTGCCTCTCTACTCACCTTAACATTGTGTAGACTGTAGTGTTTTTTAATACTATCAAACCACCCATGACTTCCTGTTAAGGTTTGATCACATTCATCTCCTGTCTGCTCTTTCATGCTTTGGAACAGGCTTCTTGCTTTAGCCTGTATGATTAGAAGGCTTAAGGGTACACACTTCTGTATCTGGTCTTCTATCCATATCACCAATAATTTTTCCATATCGTGAATAGGACCTTGTCTTTTCTTTGAAATTATAGTTCCCTTTATTGGTGTTGTTCCTTTCACTACATCACGAATACATTCCTTGTCCTTCAGAATAGTGGATATGGTCGAGTGTGAGAAACCCAGGTCACGTGAGATTGTTGCTACAGTCTTTCCATTCTCATGCTCAATTATTATCTTCATTTTCATCTCAAAAGTAATTGCTTGTCTCCTTTTCTTTGGAGCACCACCAGCACACTCACTTTTACGCTTTCCAGTCATTATAAAGTCAATTAAATACGATATAACGAAAGTTCACAGCGCGATCAGTATATAGGATACAATAGCCAAACACCAACTAAGCGCTCTACTGAGTGAGTGCACCCACGCTCTCGCCTGGGACAGAAACATTTCGGTATAGAAAATGTGCGCGTCATTTGAAAATATTTTTGGTCACAATTGCTGCGGTCGTAAGGTCAGAGCAGGTCGTAAGTACCGATGGACGTAAGTCCAAGCAGTCGTAAGTCGGGGACTACCTGTAAATGACTTATTACATACATAGGTGGTTTAACAAAAGCCTTCATTAGAGAAAGGTGAAGAAACATACAGTGAACATACAGATTAATGTTTACACACGTAGATCATGTGAGCTGAGGTGTTGAACAGCAGACACGTAGTGTAGTAACTCCCTCACAGATGGTGTTATGAGGGGCATCACGTGGAGTACGAGAGAGAGAGAGAGGGAGAGAGAGTGTGAGTGAGTGAGTGAGTGAGTGAGTGTGTGTGTGTGTGTGTGTGTGTGTGTGTGTGTGTGTGTGTGTGTGTGTGTGTGTGTGTGTGTGTGTGTGTGTGTGTGTGTGTGTGTGTGTGTGTGCGTGCGTGCGTGCGTGCGTGCGTGCGTGTGCGCGTGTGCGCGTGTGTGTGTGTTATTTTTACTGACTTTCAAGTGTTTTTGTATAAAAGTTTCCTTTGGGGAGACATGACTAGGAAAAAAAGAAAAAATATTTGAGAACAAGTGAATTGTCAAACAGCATGGAATTAGCCTGAAATACTGAACAGTAAATAAGGGTTTAGTGAGGGTTCATCATACACTGATAGATAAACTGATTGAATATAGGCATCAAACAATATTAAACACTTACTTGTTCCAGTGGGACTTGGAATTTTTATACAGAGCTGGAAACATTATGGGAAGAATGGTTTGCGCATTGTCACTGATCAATGACAGGATGTACTCATTATTCCAATAGTAGAGAGCTCGTTCTGCAACCTGAGGAAAGTTTACCTTTGTTAATTCTAATACAGTAATCACTTGTGGGATAGTTAGCAGTGACTATGTACATGACAATAGTTTACATAAAAACCAAGTAAACACATAGTTTACATAAAAACCAAGTAAACACAAGAGAAAATATTACATTTCTAGTGCTAAGCTTCAGCTTATATTTTTTATAGTCCATGAAAAAGTCATCATGGGGAAAACATACAAGTGTATGATAAATTCTTACACGTCTACTACTCATCAATGACAGCTTTTAATAAACTTGCACATACCTCATAAAGAGACAGCACTTCCCATAGGGCTCACTGTTTACATTACCATACACATTCTCTTAGCCAATGATCCATGAATATAGCAAAATTACAACTTTCAAAGTACAGCAAAATTTACAGTTCTTATATGCAGCTTTTTATTGAGAGGAAAAAAATATATAAAAAAATTATATTATCTACAAACAAATGCCTTACCTGAAAGTGTGGTGATGACACACATTTGGACAGTTGGCGAAACAATGGTACCATCACCTTAACAAATTCATTTGGTTCAATTACATCTAAGATCTCTTCAAGTTCATTTAGGAACATCACCTGCAAAATGTTGTGGTAATTAACACAAGATTTTAAACCTATTCACTGGAAGTGGAAATCCAGGGGAGCTAATTATCATAAAGTATAATGGTACCTTCTATAAGTTAAAATGTTATGCTTCTCTGAGACTTTAATCTTTAAGAACAAAACAAAGCATTATTTGCCTGAGGACAGAATTCAGTAGGTAAAATTATCTTAGCAATGAAGATTACTCTCTCCCTTTCACGTTTTTAAAATTTTACACCTTCAAGATATTCCTTGTTCTCCCTCCATCTTACAACACCATGCCAAGGTCTCCATTTGGTTTACTTCATACAACCCAGCATTAACATTAGCCACTCAAACACTAGGCTCTATTAAAATGTATGCACACTGATGCTTCCAGGATGTACAGTCAACTACTGAAGTCTCTTTGCCTCTCTCCCTGAACCATGGACCCCAAGATATTCACTCATGAATCCGAAACATTTATGAACAGAGTTAAGTATCAGTCTACTGCTTCGGGTTCACGAGTCTGAATTTCAGAGTTCATGGTTCAGGGGAGAGGCAAACGAACTCTAGTAGTTGACTGTATATCCTCTCCTATCCAGCATCTCCACCAGCCTCTCCTTCCACCTCCTCCCAGGTCTTCTCCTTTCTCTTTTATCAACTTATGAGCTAAAACCTTCCTTTAATAACAATCAATGACAAACAAAGTTTCTCAATATCTCAGTACAGGTTGTACCTCTCTAGTCCGGCAACCTCGGGACCTGACCAGTGCCGTACCATGGAAATTCACCCTTTTCCTGGATAGATAGTGACTTGTGCTTATGCTTGGAAGCACTAGCACCACTTTCTCTGCATCAAGGTCTCTTTGAAGACATATTGAAGGGTTAAATGTCGTATAGTAGCTTCTCAAATTTCGCGAGTTTTTAATTCTTAACGTATTTTATTGGAACACAAAAAAATAAATAAATAAAAATTTTGACGGCAGAAACTTGTATTTCGACGGGTTTGAACGGCCCGCCAATGTGCAGACGACGTGCATAATCGTGTAAACAGCGTCATTTCTCTTATGTACAAAAGATTCATTAATGTTTATTACTGAATGTCTTTTTTATTGAATTAGTGTTTATGTGTGCAAAATGAGCAATACAATTCATTAATAATACGTAGAATAATAAAACACACGAGGAAATGACACAGCATTGTTTTCGTTGAATACAAAACCAGTGACTGACTGGTTCTACATATAAAACTGAAGAAAATAAGACCTTGGTTGTAGCTGTAGTAAAACTAATATGGTTGTTTTAAGTAATGTTATTTAATGTTAATAAATGGAACAATAGAAGTAGCTAACAATAATGGTAAAGAAAAAAGAGAGATCGCGTATGTAAGTGCACATGCGCACATGTGAAAACATATCGTCATTACTTTACATAAGAATATGAAAGCAACACTTATTTACTGTTCATATATATTTTAAATAATGTTTCTGAATTTGTTTTTATTGAATTAATGTTTGTGTGTGCAAAATTAACAATACAATTTATTAATAATACGTGAAATATTAGAGAAGACGAGACGGCTACCAGCATTGTTTATGTTAAAGCTTACAAAACCAGTGACTGATTGGTTCTACATATAAAACTGAAGAAAATAAGACCCTGATTCTGGCTGTAGTAAAATTAATGCAAAAAAATTAATATGGTTGTTTGAAGTACCTGTAATGTTATTTAATGTTAATAAATGGAACAATATAAGTACAGGTAGTTCTGCTATAACGCGATAATTGTGTTCTTGTAAAATATCGTGTTATAGAAAATCGCGTAATAGAAATAACAGGGCTTATGGAGAAAATAGGGTTAGGTGCAGATTACTCGAAATCGAAAAAATTTAGTAGTTAGCCAAACACAAAGGATAGCACAGTGTAAATAAATGTTACATTCATATCTAATAATGAAATCATACAGTAAATGTAACACTTTACTTGATGGGGGAGAAGGGTGATTTTGAGGTTGATAAAATCGAGCTTCTCTTCAAGTGTTATATCCTTTCTTTTACGATCATCGCCGGGAATTCTATCACCAGAACGCTTCTTGTTGATATTCTTCTTTACTATATTCACAGTTAATACAGTGGGGTATGCTATAACGAATGGATCCTACTACGAATATTCCTATAACGAACGGTTTTACCTATAAAATTGAGAATGCTATAACGAACGAAACTCCTACAACGAACATTATTTAATTTTTTGTTTGTTTTTTTCTAATTTATTGTTTTTTTATTACAAATATTAATGATATTCTTTATTTCAGGGGTTTAAATGCATATTTATGCACTTTTTTTCAATTTTTAAAATTTTATATTATATTTTTCAGTGTTAAGTGGTTGTATTTGGGGGCCTGGAACGGATTAATCCTATAACGAACGAACGCTATAAGGAACAAGGTTCTAGAACCAATTAGATTCGTTATAGCATACCCCACTGTACCACAAAATTGGAGAAAGAGTAAGCAAAAATCGCGTTATAGCAAACAAGCGTTCGCGTTATACAAATATCGTTCCTAATTCATAAATCGCGTTAGAGCAAATTCGCGTTATCAAAACATGCGTTATAGCAGAACTCACTGTAGCTAACCATTAATGGTAAAAAAAAAAGTGAGACTGCGCGTATGTAAGTGCGCACATGTGAAAACATATCGTCATTACTCTACATAAGAATATGAAAGCAACACTTATTTACTGCTCATATATATTGAAGGGTTAAATGTTGTACTCTGTATAGACAAGCAGAGAGAGAGAGAGAGAGAGAGAGAGAGAGAGAGAGAACACAATTCATTCCAGAAGGTCGTTCGTTAAACGAATCCATTGTTTCAATGGGATATTGGGTACAGTAATTGGTTCCAGCGCACGAAATTACAAAGTAAAAAAAAATGCAGTAAAGTACACTTACTTTGAGGTGTGCATGTAGAAGGTTCCTGGATGATGATGGAAATTAGGAGTGGGGGTGGAGGAGAAGGGAGAAGAGAAGGAAGTGGGGATGGAGGAGAAATCACCTTTCAGGGGACCCATGCTTGATGCCGTCATTTCATCAATAAAATTTTAAGTTCACGAGGTGTAATTCAAGATTCTTTTCTTTAAATCAACACTGCACTATATATTATCAATATGTAAACTAAATTTCAGAATGACCAATAATTTCAATGAAAAATGCAAAAATATTCAAGACACCAACAAAATAGATGTTCACTCCACTGTTTTCAAAGACCAACTGATGCCTAGTGGCTGAGTCAAGCTGCTGATGGGCACACAAAAAACTAGTTCCCTGTACTACATATATTATCAATATGTTATAGAAATGTTAAAATGACTAATAATTTTAATATAAAACATGTAAAAATATTAAAGAGCACAACTTTATTGATATTTACTCCAGTGGAAACAAATGTAAACATAGAACAGATTACTGAATTGGCAGACTAGCCCATCAGCTGATCAGCTTATGCTCACAACAAAACGTGATGTTCATATCAGCTGATCAGCTTATGCTCACAACAAAACGTGATGTTCGTAAGGATTTCGTTAATCAAATTTTTGTTCGTTAACCGAATTGAAGATACTTATGGAAGGTAATTTGTCAACCAAAATTTTGTTAACCGAACCGTTCGTTAACCGAGGGACCACTGTATTTATTTGTATGTGTTTTGTGTGTGTCTACACACACACACACACACATATATACAAGACAGGTAAAGGAAATTACCATCTCTAGAATGAATGGCTCCCTGTCCTGGCTGTGAAAATTCCAGCAACTTTAAAACTACTCTTAGACATTCTTGGGTACATTCAGGGTGTCATCCGCAAGTAATCAAGGTCCGCGAATAAAAAATCAACAAATTTGAAGAGCATTCTGTACTGTACTGTCAAGCATCAAGACAATTCTGTCCAGAAGCATATATAGTAAGCCCATATCATAGTAGGTGCAAGTTTAAAATATGTGGAAGGACCTTTGTATTAAGAACAGAGTATAAAATCTGGAGGTACCACAAGAGATATTGTACTCTGTTGCATGATGAGGTGGTGAATGATATCATTGGTCAAATGAACTCTGGTATGATGGAAAACAAAATGTACATAATTATATCAAGATACTGTACATAGTTGCATTTGAGAAGTGAGAGACCAAAGTGGAAACATTTACCATAATAGGTTTGACATTTTCTAAAACTATCAGCAAGAAATGTATGCTGACACTCAATAATCAGTAAATGTCATGAAAAAATGCTATATAAGATTGAAATTTTATAAATAATAATTATGTGGAAGGACAATAAAAGTAAAAAATGTACAATTGAAAACACATGTACTAAATTTCTCTGTTACATAAAGCCCTTTCAAGTTGACAACACTTACCTCCTTGGGACTATGGACTTTAGGCCACAGCTTGAGCAGGGTGATGATGACAGGTTCAGTTAGTGAGGGGTCCTTCTCAAGGAACTGAACTACACAATAAGCCAGCTGAGGGTGGTAAACACTCAGAGACTTAACTTTATGGAGGGGCAGCAAAACCTTCAAGAGGAACACTTTGTGCTCTTCTTTCAACGGTAATGCAAAACCATTGATGATACTGGAGGAAAGAAAAATTATAATTAGGATTTATCAAATAATACAGTAGTAAGATCTCAGAGGACAAATAGTATATCACTACAGTATATTTTGCAAAAATAATTTACTATGAATTGAAATGCGAAGTGTTCAGAAAACCAAATAATTTCTTTTATCAAGAAATAATCAAGTGATTTCCATGAACATAAAATGTTCTCTATGTTAAGAAAAACTTGTTGCCGTCTTGCTGTGCTACGAAGAAATGAATTTAATAAGCTCTTATAGATAATTTGAACTGTGATCATTTCCATCATAAAGTAGGGTAACTAGAAGTAAAGAACACACACACACACACACATTTTACTTTCGTTCATTGATTCTTACTGCTGTAATTTTTTTTCTACAATGGTATTTCCCCACAATGAGCCAAACCTGGCTTGCCTCTGCACTCATACGAGCCACCCTCATCCATTGCAGCACACCTTTCACAAAAATTACTCTATGCCATGCATTTTACTTATTCATGAATATGGCTGCTTCCTAGATGCCAATCCATCTCACTTCTAGTGTATCCTTCAAATTTTTCTTGGTTTTCTTCTTTCTATCTTACTACCAGTGAGTTATATTCTTTTTACAAATTTCACATTTCCCATTCTCTCATTATGCCACTACTGTACAGTACTATACCACCTAAGCAGAACTTAATCTACCCTCTCGCCAATAATTCTTCCACTTCATGCCTCCTACTTATTTCTACATCTCTTGTTCTCTGCATCCTATTTACCCCACAAATATTGCACTCAAGTAAGTCATTTCTTACCTTCCTAATATTTCTAATAATTCAGCCACACCATTATGGTGTTCTGTCTCATATATGAACCTAGAAAGAAAGAAAGAAAAATTATGAAGACATTGTACAGGTACCATAAAACCAACCAATTTCTAATAAATAATCAAGCAAATATTTCTAGGCAAATAAATTCAACTCCCAAGTAAAATTATTAATCACCTGATGAGATCCCCCCCCCCTCCTAGGGCCAACTTTACTTTTGTAGATACCAAACATATTGTAAAAAAAAAATGAAAAGATAAGGGATGTACAGTACAGCCACACCCCAATAATAAATACATGCCATTACTCTACAGTACAGGTTGGATACCGCTAATCAGGGACCCGATAGTCCAGCAGCTTCAATGGTTCAGGAAGGTGTTTGAATCTGGCCGTCATTAGTTTCCAAGACTGCTGCTTGGCCGGTTGTGACACCAGTACAGTAAACTTGTGCCGTAGCACTAATCCTTTACCATAAAGATGTCCGGTAAGCCTGGGCTAGATTTATGCTGAAGTAAGTTCTATTGGTACCACTAATAGTATATTTTATTCATTATACTTGTATTTCCATTTTTTAACCTCGGCTTCGATGGTTTGGAATTTTTGCTAATCCGGAACCGGTCTGGTCTGGTCGCAAACTTCCCAGATTAGCGAGGTCCAACCTGTATTTCTTACCGACCTTTAATAGAATTTTAATGCATAAATAGTTGGTTGGACATCTGGACAGGTTTGTTTATCTCTTAGAAAGTTCCTAAGTCAAATGTTCATAAGTAGAGGAGCACTTGTATCTAAAAAATCTAAATAATAATTATACACTCATCCCCCTAAATTTGCGAGGGTTACATTCTTGGAAATCGTCACAAATCATGAATTCGCAAATACGGAATTTAATACTTATGGGAAAAAAATTGGGTATGGTACCATGTCTATCAAGATTATCATATTTGTCATAATATTTTAGGTTAGAAATAATAAAATGTTTCAGAGATGGAGTTGATATTTATATGGAGTAAGTTTTTTGGTTACAAAACTTGTACTTCCCATGGAACGTAAATCACTCAGGATATTATAGTCTACTCTAGTAAAATCGTTTTCTCTAATACAGAGCAAAAGATTAAAAATTACAATACTGGATACTCTAATGTGGCTTAGAAATAAAGAAAATATAATATAAAACTATAAAATAAGAAAACTGTGGCTTAGAAATAAAGAAAATATAATATAAAACTATAAAACAAGAAAACTGAAGTGCATGATAATGACTTATTATCCCGGCAACAAATAATATGGGAATTAGGGTGAATTGCATACTGTTGGTATAAAGGGATGGTGGGCTGCTGAGCAGGAGGTGGTAGAGATGTCCTCCCTCTCTCCTCTATCACCTCTTTTAAAATACTTACTATAATGATGATAATATCTGTGGAAAAATTTAATGAAACTGAACAACTCCTTCTGGTGGTAGTGTTGTTCTCAGAAATTACCAACAAATTTCTTATAGCCTCGAGGATAAGTGAATTTTGATCGCGAATGAAATGTTAAATGTACAGTTATAAGTCTCGCATTTCTTCTTCAGATAAAATCTCATCAAAATTTAAATCCACTTAAAGCAAAACATCTCAGTGTTTAAACATAGTGCAGTAGACTGACTGTTGACATGTCACTATGAATTTAAAACCTTATGTCTTGGCTGGGCCTTACAGTCTCACACTGCATCACAACTTGTGGCACAGTTTCAAGCACTACAACTTCTTGGAAATATAAAATTATTACTGTAATGCATGCAATTCACTTATTATGGTTAATATTGGCTTACAATCATAAAACAGTGGTCCCTCAATTAATGAACACAACTGGTTCCACAGAGTCGTTCATTAACTAAATCTATTACTTCAATGAGATATTGGGCAATTGGTTCCAACTCACAGAAAAAGTACATACAAAGTATTGTATACCGGTCATAGAATTAACAAAACATTAGATATAAACAAAATACAGAACTGTACTGTATTGTACAGTACTGTACAATAATAAATAACAACAGAAAACTGAATTTTAACTTACTTTGAGATGTGTATGTCGTATTACCGGCGACTTTATTTACACAGCAAACAGCTGATTGTAGAGGCAGTCGATGAAGACATGCCATATTCTTAAACAGAGTGCATTGGTTCTAATGCCTTCTTAGTATTTCTTATTAATTTCTGCACTGTATATAATCAATATGTTAACTAAATTTCAGAATGACCAATGATTTTAATGTTGTAAAAATGCAAAAATACTCAAGAGACCAACAAACTCGATGTTCACTCCACTGTAAACAAAGTTAAACTGAGATGCATTGGCGGGCGATTCGATCAGCTGATGGGCGCATAAAAACTGTACCCTGTACTGTATATATTATCAATATGTTAACTAAATTTCAGAATGACCAATAATTTTAATATAATAAATGCAAAAATATTCAAAAGCACAACTTCCTTGATATTTACTCCACTGGAAAGAAATGTAAACATAGAACCGATTACTGTATTGGTGGACTAGCCTATGAGCTGATGCATGCACCAAAGCATGTTTCTCTTAAGGCTGTCGTTAATAGAAGTTGTACTCGTTAAAAGAACTGAAAATCCTTATGGGAGCTAATTCATTAACCAAAATCTCATAAATTGAACTGCTCGTTAATGGAGGGACCACTGTACACAGGAAAATTTTTAATTAAAAACATATTTTGTAGCACTTAAAAAAAAAAATTCTTAGGAAGGTATCTCAGCTTTTATAATGGGAGTCTCCAAGAAAATGGAATCTGATTTACGAAAGGTTTATTAGGAATGGATTCCTTTGGTAAATATGGGACTGCCTGTGTATTTGTGACTTGTTCTTGATTCTGGCCAACTTACAATGATAAATAAATAAACTTACTTGTAAAATATATTGTTGATCTGTTTGCGAATAAATGCCCTCAAACCCAGGAACTTGCCATATATTCTGTGTAAGGTCGTCTTAAGGAAATCTCTCTCTCTAGGATCTTCAGAATCAAATAGTTCTAAGAGCTGAAAAGAGAAAAATATTAAACAAATATGATCAAAATACACATGCACACAATCTGAGTTACAGATGAAGGAATTTACCAGTTTCTTATGAGCACTGTTACATAAGCTCCACCACACTTAGTTGGAATTGGAGTAAAGTTGATAGACAGATAATGACATAAAATTAAATAAAAAAAATAAAAAAATTGGGATGCCCTGTAAACCTTGGTGACTGAAAAGTTTAGTTGTAGGATATACATTGCAAAAACACATTAATAATTACACATGCACTGAATAATAGGAAAGGAAATCTTACAAGGTCAAAAGACATTACAACCTGGGACTAACAGAACAATCACACACACTACTAAAACTGCCATAACACAAAACAAACATGAGGTCAACCGATGGAACCAGGATAGAATTCAGGTTTTGGCCACTATTTCACGACCCTGAACCACCCTCAAGTCTTACGAGAAGAATTCTTGCTTGAATCATCTCTCTGTATGAATAGCAAGACGCAGACTTCCAACATAAGAACATCAGCATGCCTCTATCACTTAGAATTCACAATGAATTGTTGTGAAGTGTTGCAATCATAATAAAAGTCAAACCACTGGCACTTACTCAACTACATCATTGTAAGGCAACGTGACCAGTGAGAAGTTCTCCAAACCTGAGTCATGAGAGGTGCAGAATGCTCCACCAACCATAACCTAATCTGCTCCAAGATGAGGCTCAAAATCCGTCCCCAAGTGCCATCACAACCAACTAAATTGCAACGCTCTCAAAAATCCAACAGTAGTTGAAAATTTCCGCAGCACCCTAGCTTTGTGTCTTGTCTTCCACACCCACAATCAATTTAAGCAGCAACACAATAGATGTGGACAATGAGTGGAACAACCTCCACTTGCCCATATATGAAGTTGCAAAGGACATCCTCAGTACAACCAGACGACATCACCGGGACTGGTTCGATGAGAACGCTGATGGCATATACAATCTTCTTGCTACCAAGAATAAAGCCCATGATGCTTTACTCTCAAATCCACAATCTGCTGCATTCAGAGCCAACTAGTGCTCACTCAGGGCTGAAACACAGAAGACTCTGAGAAACATGGAAAACAAACGGTGGCAAGCCAGAGCTCAAGAAATCCAAGGCTTTGCCAACGAGAACAATCATCAGGGATTCTACAATGCCATCAAAGCCATTCATGGTCCCATCAAGTGCAACATCACTCCAGTGAGATCACTCGGTGGTGAACTCCTCGAGGACAAACAGCAAATCCTTTGATCGATGGGCGGAACACTTTGCTAGTCTTCTCAACCAAAGGAACTCTACTGAACTCAGAGTTGCCCCCGGCAGTAACTCAATGCAGCTCCTGAGTTCTCTGAGACCCTACGAACTGTCAAGGGCCTCAAAGACAACAAAAGTGCCGGGCCTTTAGAAATCTTTAAGAGTGGAGGCTACCTCCCCCTCCTACATCTCCACCAACTCATTCTTGCCACCTGGTCTACCGAAAGTGTCCCCAAAGAATGGTGGAACTTGAGCATCATGGAAATCTACAAGAAAAAAGGTGACCGTTCCATCTGTGGTAACAGCCATGACATATCTTTCTTAGCTGTGGCAGGCAAAGTACTTGCCAGAATTATGCTCTGTAGAATAGCCCAACACATTACCGAGTCCACTCTGCCTGAGACACAATGTGGCTTCCATAAAGATCACAGCACAACTGATATGATCTTTACTGTGCGTCAACAAGAAAAATGCCATGAATAGAACCTTGACCTTTACATAGCTTTTATCGACTTAACGAAAACGTTCAATACTGTCAATAGCGAACTGCTCTGGACAGTTCTCTCTAAGTTTGATATCCCTCCAAAATTTCTTAAAATCCTCAAGCACTTCCATGAGGACATGCAAGCATGCATACATGCAGGAGGCACCAAGTCCAAACCCTTTAGTGTTGAGGTCGGTGTAAAACGGGTGCGTTCTTGCCCCCGTCATCTTCAATCTTTACCTCACAGCAGTGAGCCTGATCTGCCATAACTCCATGAACGAAGATGGCGGAGTGAAGATTCAATTCCGCTTAGACGGCAACCTGTTCAACCTCAGCTGCCTTCAGGCAATAACAAAAACTTCAACCTCCCACCTCCTAGAGCTCCAATATGCTGACGACTGCACGCTCGTTGCTCACTCCCCAGAGGTTCTCCAACACACACTCAATTGTCTCCGCAATATATCAGGCCATCAGACTAAAAATTAACACCCCAAAAAACAGAGATAACTACTCAACACAAAGGCGCAGACCCACCACCTGCATTCCTGGTCAATGGAGAATCTGTCAAACAAGTCGAACATTCAAAATACCCCGGTAGCGTTCTTACTCCCAAGCACAACATTGACAAGGAAATCCAGGCTCGGATCAGTCTTGGAGCTGCCTCCTTTGGGCGTCTGTGCGCCAGTGTTCGACAATAACAGCCTCAAAGTTACAACCAAACTTTCTATTTACCAAGCTGTCTGTATTTCCACAATCTTATTTGGTTCTGTGGTGTGGATTACATACCAAAGGCACATCAGTTCTCTCAAGGCCTTCCATATCTGTTGTTTGCAGCGCACTCTTGGTCTGACCTGGCAGGACAAAGTCCCTCATACGGACATCCTCCGTCATGCCAACACCACCAGCATAGAGGCATTTCTGGCGAAACGATATTGCAATGGCTGGGACACGTCATCCACATGCCAGAGCACTGATTCCCCCACCAGATCCTCTATGGGCAGCTGCCCTAGGCAAGATGCAACCTTGGAGGACAACGACCAGCTCAGAATGACGCTAAAAATTTTTAACATTCCTCCAAAGGATCTTGAAACTATTGCATCCAACCGTAGTCTTTGGTGCTCCACCTGTACCCAAGGCGTCAAACATCTTGAGAACGAGCGTAATGGGGCCAGATGTGCATGTAGGGAGAGGAGACACAATCGCATTCCCAGAGACCACCCACCCAACCAGAAGCTGTCCTTGCCCAATGTGTAATAAGAGTGTGGGTCAAAGATCAGACTCCACAGCCACATCCAGTGGCACCGGCGACATAATCCCAAGTTCACCACTCATCATCATCGATTTCATAATGAAGCAGAGTCGTTGTCGGCTACGACGGAGAGCCTTAAACAATAAATGTGGAGATTAAAGAATCAATTTTCTTGCAAATTGAGGTTCTGAGGTACTGTAGTGTGTATGGAGTGTTATTTGCTGCTTCGCCTGTTCCTATCCCACAGCTTACTACAGTATACCTTTCTTATACTGCTCTTCCTTGAGGATTCTGTTTCTCTTGAGTCATTCCATACACATGTGAGTAAAAATAATAAGAGGAACAGATGTACAGATTCCTTACTTTGGTTGTTGCTATGATTAACTCTCTGTGAAGAGGCTTAATCAAATTAGAAACTAATAAGTTCTAAATACATTAGCAAACTTTCACCCTTATATGGAAGAAACAGTTTACTTGGTATAAACATATTAAAGAGAATTGCAATGACAGAAGCTGGAAATCCCAAACTCACCTGCAACACAAACTTTTGATCAATGAAGCGTTTGGCAACAGATGGCTGGAAGTCTGGACTTTCAAGAAACCGTAAGAAAAACTCATACACCAATTGCAAGTGGGGCCATGCAGCTTCAAGAGTGGGCTCATCTTCCTCTGGGTCGAACTCTGCTCCTACGGGAAAGCCAAGTCAGGTCATGGGAGACTTTCCGTTTAAAATAGGAAAAATGCATGAAACATAAATTAATAAAATATACAGAATATGAAGGTAAACACCATTGAAAAACAAAAGTGTTAATTGGAAAAGGAGAAAGAACATATGACATCAAGTGAGGGGGGAGGAAGAGTCTGTGATGCTAATGACTCCAGCTACCTTGTAGTGTAAGAATGAGAAAAATAATACAATATTATCGTACTAAAAGCAAATGCAGACATTTCAAGCAAATTATTTAAGCAGAAAAATATGTATTTGTACATTATACACTGAAACATCAGTTATCATAAACAATACCACTATTTACAAAATTCAATAAGAGCTACTACCTTGTGGAAAGAAAATCTTTCATTTACTTACTTAAAATTGAAGGCTATTTAAAAGAAATCCAGTTATTAAAATACAAAATCTTAACATTTTATGAAACCGCTGGATGGCAACTGTACAGTTGATGAAATGTGTTCCTACACCTTGTGGTAACCTGTGTTTCCAAACGGAAACATCACAGTAGTAGTATCACTATTTTTGAATGAATGGGTATTGGTAGTGTAATTACGGACATGACTGGTGGATAGGTTTGCTATAGGTCATTTAGGTTGGCCGCTTGGAGACACGGGTTCCCACAAGGGTGTAAAAACACATCACCGCAACTGTACCTTAACCCCTACTCCCCGGTTGATGTTCCGGAACGTCCATCTAGGGCACCAAGGTCGACGTTCCGGAACGTGCGCCAATTCGCGGAATTGTTTGAATGCCCAGCGCGGGTTATCAGGTTCCAGTGTGACTATTTGCGTGTCATGCCACACGCTCGGCCACAGGTAGCTTCTTGAATTTAAGTACAGTACCTACTTTTGTTTGTTTCATTTTCATTGTTTGTCCATTTTATCATGTTGTATGAAAGTAATATTGCTAAAAGTAGTGTAGTTTTATTTTAGTGTAGTATTACTGGAAAATAATGCTAAGATTATGTTATATGTGTATTTATTTGTGGAATTATTATTCCGATATTTATTTATATGCATTACTTGCTCTACCAAACACAAAGACAGGCAGACAGCCTGGCGACAGAATGAGTGTATGTTGCCGAGCACTTTTTATGAAAAATAATGTAAAGAGAACTTTCTAAATGAATTATTTATAGGAAATAAGTATTATGATCAGTAAGTATATGCATTACTGGCCATCCAGGACACAAAGGCAGGCAAAAAATGGCCGCTAAGTGCGCAGTGACCAGGAGTGCTAGCCGTCAAAACAACACTATCCCCTTATCTTCCTTGCCTCTGCGGTCCCAGGGAAGTTTCTAGAGGGTCAATATATAGTTTTTCTTCCTTCTTTTTTATTGTTTTATTATTTAAAAAGGTTAATAATTATTTTTGGAGAAGTTGATTTTTCTCGATTTACCCTAGGGGATAAAGCCAGCGGCACCCTAGCCCGGGGCGTAGGGGTTAAGCATGCATGAAAGCTTCAAGTTGTTAATTAGTAAACTGCTGTTATATGATTAGGTTACACATACTATGGGCTGGGGTATGACCTAATTAATGGTTGTATTTTAGCAAATTACTCAGAAAAAAGAGAAGCAGGAAAATAGATTCCTGTATATCATAGTACAGGTACTGTACATTAAATTTCAGTAACACAAAACCATTAAAACAGACAGCACAATGAGCACCAGTAAAAATAAATATATGGAACTTTAAATTACAACTTACACTAATAAAATAAGATACACCAGACCAGAAAAGGTTTAGATATTTTTCCCATCTTAAATTGTCAATCATTAAACACATCCTAAAACATGCCGCTCAAACAGCAATTTTATTACAATCACAATAATTTTGCCCCTAACTGGATTGACTATCAACCTCCTCATGTAATTTGCAATAAACAGTCTACAATTAGACTTCGCCTAGTACTGTACTCTACTACTGTCGTCCCTTGGTTATAGCGCACTTGGTTATCGCGATTTTCGTTATCACGACACAGAATTTGAAATTGCAACCCCAATTGCAACTGGGGTTGCAATTGTTGAGGCAACTAGATATTCTGATTACAGCAAATGTGTTATTGTCAATTTGTATGTGAAAGATTTTATCCTCAATAGATGTACTGTAGGTGAACCAAGGGGTTAACATTACACCTGGAGGCAAATACGTGATAACCAAATTCTCGGCCTGAAAAATGCGCTATAATGGCAGGTGTGCAGATTTTGATGGAGGCGTTACTAGGGAATAACGAAGCCTCTCGTGCACTCTAAAACTGAGAGAAAACGGAGGACTCAGGTGTCCTGAAGCAGGAGAAAACGGACTCCTATGATGAGGGACCAAATAAAAAAGCATAGCTACATGTTTTGTGGACTACAGTATTGAGCGTACCCTTTTCATCACTTTGTAATAAACCTAGCCATGCCTATGTGTGTTTCTGATATTTACCATAACATTATATATATATATATATATATTTAGTGGGTCTAAATGGTCGTAAAATGGGAAAGTTGGGTTTGGGTCTTGGGTGCCTGGAACCAATTAGAATAAATCCCATAGGTTCTGTACTTTCGTTATCGCGTTTTTCGTTATCAAGCACTCGGCGCGGTCCCAATTAGGCGTGATAACCAAGGGATGACTGTACTCTACATGACTGGGAAACTGAAACAGCACTGCTCCCATACAGAAAAAGAATAAATGAAATGTGAATGAGGCTATAATGATGAAAACAAAAATTTGTCAATACCTGTATACAATGGAAACCAATTCTTGGATGTGGCAAACAAATGTACAGTACCACTGTATAAGTACAGTCTGGTGCTGGTAAGAGGGGATCAAGTTTCTGCACAGTAAGACTGACTGATTAAATAGAAATCTCTGATATCATAAATTACAAGAATTAAAATATCTTTAAGGTACGTAAAGGTCCACCACCGAATTTCCGGCACCTTTGGTTCCTGAGCCGTGCCGGTCATATACAGGTATAATAATTAAGCAATAAACCTCTGACCCACTAGCTATACACCTCCCAGTATCTTTAAAGCACCATGGCTGCTACAAACTCAAATTAAACAAATAATAAATGTAAATTAAATGATTAAATGAAACACAGGCTGTATAAAAGATGCAGGTTTATTAATTACTTACAAAGAATGTTGCAGTACTGCCACTCCCAGAGTGGCAATTCCATCATCACTCTATCATGTTCAGTACTCTTACGATTTTTCATTGTTTTTCTAGTGCACATTTGCTTCTTGGAATCAATTTCTGCATAGAATCTCATTACTTTTTCTCTTTGTTTTTTTATATCATACACAGTTGAAAACCAATACCAAACTGATCACACAGCTGTCTCACCGAAACACCACGGTCAAGCTTTCTCAAGAGTTCCGTATCGATATGGACTGGTGTTTATGCTTTACACCATCACTGACACTTGTACTTGCCTTTGAAGCCATAGCTGGGTACTTGCCTTTGAAGCCATAGCTGGGTACTTGCCTTTGAAGCCATAGCTGGGATTAAATATGTGCAAAATAAGCTAAGAATCACACAAAAACAAGAGGTTACCACCAGCAACTGCAGTGTAAACAAACAAAGTGAGCGAAGTTAACACGTAATGCCATCTGTGGTAGCCCAGTAAACTAATCTGGAAGTAGCAGGAATTTCAAGTGCCCTTTCGTAATTTTGTCCAGATTAAAAGAAATGCCGGACCATCTGTTCCAGGAAAATCGGTGGTGGACCTGTATTACTGAAAATGTTAATAGGACAAACTATAATGGGTCTAGTGTTTAAATATACTGTAATGGACTGTGCATTGAGGCAGAAGATACTAGTGCCTTATGAGTGGAAAACAAATGTGGATGCAGCAATAACTGAGCTGGTTAAATGATGTCTGGTGCAATACAGGTATAATGCTTTTTTTCAGTTGCTAGTAGCAGGGTGACATTACAAGAGTCATATTTACACACTTGTTCACCTTACCTATTGATGAGATAATTTTGGAAATAACAAGCTGAAATCTTTTATGTATGTGGTGATATGGTTTTAATCACTTAAATAATTACAGAAATAGTCTTCTCCCTCAAAACCGACCACCAATCCTGCATGGAGGCTAAATCACCCCTACACTTTTTGTACATATAAGGTACAGTATTATCTTCAGCAACAGAGTGCAATACTTTTCAATACCAAATAACACCCTGATGCAACCTGCTCCAAAATGAAGCTTGCCATGCACCTTGTATGAGACTGAAATATTAATTGCCAATTCTATTAATTTAGTTAAAATACGAGCATGCAGGTTAGCCAGGTTAGCATTAAATAAAGTATTTTTGTGTAAGAATGAAAATCTTTATTAAAACAAAAATGGTGATAGCAAACTTATAGAATTTAATATAACACAAGACACTCATTTCGAAACATACCTGACGGATTGCTGGAAGGCGGTAATGTTCGGAATAAATTAACAGCAAACATTTGGACCACCTCAGGGTATACAGGTTCTGTGATTACTTGGCGCTGTGTTGTCACGTACTCTACCATTTCATTCAGAGCTGCTCGTTTTACCTCTTTCCATTTTAAGTCACTGAGAGGGTCTGTTATAAAGTCGAATATGACCCCACACTGCCGAATCTTCTGAATAAATAATTCTTCCCGTTCATTAGGTTGAGCATCTGAAAAATTATCCATTTAATTCAATTACAACACTGCAATATAAGCATTAATCACAGATGGTTTTTATTCTGTGTATCTTGATGTTTTCAAATATATACAGTATGGATTGGTAACAAAAAATATAAATTAATTTGGAAATGAAAAATTATTTATCTGTATGTCTATATTAACATTAATACATTTGTTGTATATGTTCTATACTGAGACAACAGGATTCGCAGTGTTCATTTTGACACCCATCGCATTTACTATACAGTACAGTATACTGTACAGCACAGTTAAACCAAATAGAAATCAAATTAAAATATGTTATTTACACAGCTGTCCCTCAAATTCACAAAGCAAGATAAAAGATGGGTCCAAAATTATAAGTCTGGTGACATAATTCATAAAAGGGTCATTCCACAGTACAGTATCAGTGACAATACAGGCATCCCTATACTATACCAATTAAGTGAATGGATCTACCTTGAAAATACTGTTTTGTTTCAGTTAATAAAGACCAGAGCAATAATTAGAGGCATTATACAGGTGCAAGCCCCAGCCACTTGGGCACTAACTCCCCATGTATCCAGCATGCATCGCAATCTTTTCCAATCAGCCATATTTGAGGTAGTCATAGAGAAGCAACATGATTAACACGAGAGGTTGAATTGGCTGATAAATAATGAATCATGAATGATGATAAACCGGTGTGTTGTCTTTAGCTGTTACAATAATTTATTCATGAAGGAAAAATAAGGATATCTTTTATAATATATATACAGTACCCATACTGTACAATATTATTAGGGCCAAGAGAAAGACATCCCAACAGAATGGCAGCATGCGTGAATTACAAAAAATATATTGTGCAAATATGAACGTTAAGTTAATCAAACTGTCAATAGCTAAATCTTTGACAATAGACAGATAGACAAACAGCTGATTAACCTACCTGAGAATGTCTCACACTGCCAGACATCAACAATCTGTAGGTTTCAAATTTCACATGCCCCACTTCCTTCACCCATCCACTGACAAAATGATTGTAAGAATCCAGAGATTTTTAAGCTTTCAACTCATCAAGTGTGTACGCACTTCAGGCATTAATGGACCCTTCATAAAGAGTGATATCATGTTCCTGAAAACCTCTATCATTTTCAAATTGTTCTTTATTGAATTTAACTCCTTATGAGCAAGATGGCTTCTGCTTCAGCCTGACCCCAAATGTTAACCTGACAAGATTCCTGTATTAAATTAAAAGTACTCCACTTGTTTTGCTTATTTAATTATTTATGATCAAATACAGTAAATCGATCAACCAGAATAAGTGTAATTTTGATTATTGTGGTGAGCTATGAACTGGCTCAGAAAAGAATGGGGAAAGGGGTACAGCACCAGGCATTAAGAATTAGTAGTGGTAGGGTGACCTGGAGGCTCTTCTGTAACAACCCCCCCCTCACCCATCAAGGGTATCAGGTATTGCAATATGATTATGGACACATATTGCACCTGCACCCTAAACCTGTTACATGTACAGTATACAGTAATCTGCATACAAATAAAATGTCAAACTACAAGCAAGTTCAGTACTTGCCTCTGAGTGATGGAAGCTTCTGTAGTTCTCTGTTCTTAGGGATGTTGAATCGCGAAGATGACTGCCTCTTCTCCTTCTTGATGAGGGGAGCACCAGGGCCAAACTTTATTTTATTAATCTGTGTAGGAGGAGGAAGGCCATCCTTAATGGATGTAGCAGACCCCAAAGGCCCATCATTCTCACCAACAACTGGCTGTTGTTGTTGATCATCTTCCTCCTGTTGCTGCTGCTCATGTGGCTGCTGCTGCTGCGACTGCTGCTGCTGTTGCTGCTGAGAATGTTGGTGATATGGTGGAAGTGATGTTGGTGAGGATGACAGTAGTAGTGGTGGTGGAGGCAGGAGCACAGCAGCAAGTTGTTGTAGTTGTGGTTGTTGTTACCATCAGCGGAGCCACGCACGCACAACACCAAGCAAAACACACAGAGAAAGAACAGCAGTTAGTTTTAGTAGAAGAGACAACATACATTACTACTTTTCAGAGTCAGAGCAACAGAATCTTACTTGATTCCATCATGGTTTTTAGGATGGCATCAGAAAATAAAACTTGGGGTAACAAAAAGATAAAAAAAGATCAAGGAAACATAACACTTTCTATGAAGTTAAATGGCAGATAATGCAGTAAAGTATCTGTCATTAAACTGCAAGTGTGGTTAAGTTACCTTACTCTTTGTCAGCCACAGTGATCAGACATAGCAAATTAAAGTGATAGAGAAGCTTTATATATATATATATATATATATATATATATATATATATATATATATATATATATATATATATATATATATATATATATATATATATATATATATATATATATATATATATATATATATACACACACACAGTTGGTCCTCATATTACGCGGTCCCGCATTCCGCGTTTCACCGTTAACGCGGTGCCTTGCCAGAACCTAACATTCTTACATTCCGCGGTCGCGAACGCCATTACGCCATTACGCGGAGTGTGTCCGGCGCGACGCTATTTTTAGATTTTCCCCACGCGCCACCCGCCCGCCCGCCTGCCTGCCTCTCCCTCCTCCTCCCTCCGCTTGGGCAAGCGGCGCGGTAAGGTTGCGCAGTGTGTGTCTTTGTTGCGTTATCACTGACGTCATATGACGTATCAGACCTGTGATTGGCCATGCATCCCTACCCTCCTCTGCTGCTAGCTGTAATTGGCTTAAAGTATTATGACGTGTCCACCCGGGGGAGGGAGGGAGGGAGGAAAGACGACGCTTGACCTAGCCGCGGCAGTTTCATCCCTCAAGGCCACTCCGTGTAAACGCGCATCCATTGTTCCGTAAAATGGCTTCCGCCGGACCACCACCCCCAGAGAAAAACCTTTCCTTACCTGCAAAGCATAACAGATTTCTTCACCCGCAACCCACCACAGCCAGCCCAAGCCAGTGATAGTGACAGTGAAGTTGACTTTGAGGGATTTGTCAGGGAAGCCCTGACAACTGTAAGTGACAGTGATGATGATTCACCTAGTAATGGTGATTCACCTGAGGGCCAGTAAACTGCCCTCTGCCTCGGAACCAGCCTCCATCCCCGTATGCCGACCCATCTCTTCTACTACCGTAAGTGTTACACAAAATTTTTAGTTTTCTAACCTAACCTTTATTTTTCCTATGTTAACCTTTATCTTTCCTAACCTAACCTCTTCTATATTACTTGTTTTTTCATACCATCATAAAGTTAAGAAAAAAATTTTTACTACAACATAGTTGTGTGTCGTCAAAAAGTGGAGTTTGGGGATCGGCCTGGACTCCATTTCAATTAATCCCATATGTTATGTTGTTCACTTTACGCGTTCCTCACTTTCCGCGGGAAGTATATACATACATACATACATACATACATACATACATACTGTATATACTCGTCTATAACCCCACTTCGTATATAGGTCGACCCAAGTTTTTGAGGGTAAAGGAACAACAAAACCTTCAGAAAACACTACGTCCTATAAACTTGTTTACCATTTATTATTACGACACTTTACACTGAAATGTGGGTAGTTTCAACAAAAATATTGTATATTTCCATTCAAGTATTTATTCAAGTCAATTAGGAGGGAATATTATTGTAATACAATAGTTTTTTAACTGAAAACCATTCAAAAAGCGATTACGGTAACATATTTTGAACGAAAGAAAGCAAGACATTGTTTTCGTCACAATTTTATCCCACTTTCCACTGTAATACATTCGTCATTTCAGCAAAAAATATTACATTTCTGTGAATGTATTATATCAAGCACAATATGAATAGAATATCACTAATATAACAGTATTTTAACCGAAAACTATTAAAAAAACGAGTAACATTTCTTGAACATTGGAAGGTTAGGTAAAGTCTTTTGTTTGCGTCATGTATTTTATCCTATTTTACATTGAAATACATCACGTTTCAGCAAAACTACTATTTATTTCTGAGAATATATTCATTCAGGCACAGTTTAGGTAAAATATACATGTGCTGTAACATTTTTTTAATTGAAAACGATTCGAAAAACACGTACCCTCTAGCCCTGTTCAAGGAGAAGACTGGGAGGAGCTGTTTGGTGCTAAGACGATGACAAGGAAAATGATTTTGATGGATTTTAATGAAAATATTCAGAAAGACCCTGGCACTGTCAAGGAAAGTGGCTGCTGAAGGCTTCCGGGACATGGCACAGGACGAGATTAGGGAGCTAATTGAAGAGCATGACACTGAGCTGACCGAGGAGGATCTACAGGAGTTAGTAGACTCAGGCAAGGAAGAGGAAGCGAAAGGGAAAGAAGATGAGGAAGAGCACCAAGAAATAACGTTGGAGAAGTTGGGGGAGATGACCAGGAATATTGAGGCACTGAAAAACCTGGCCTATAGAATGGACCCCTCCATGGTGCGTGCCCTGAAATTCAGGCGATGGATGGATGACGTTTTCCCTCCATACAAAAATATCATGGAAGAAATGAAAGAAAGAGACGACAACTCCCCATCACCATGTTCTTTGATCACCGAAGGAGAGATTTAACACCATCAATCACTGGCGGCAGTGAGGAAGCAGCTGAATCCACAGTCGCCCCCACTTCACCACCTGTTATAGAATTGAGTGACGATGAGCCCGATGACCCCCGCCCTGTCGCCGAGGAGAGGTACAGTACAGTAAAGTGAAATTCTTATCTCTTTTTTTTAATAGCTTTTCTTGCCATGTTTATTGTTTGTAAAAATGCACAGCACAGTACAGTTCAGTACAAGTACTGTAAATAGGAAGTGGAGGTGCAGTTATTCACAAAACATTTGTGTTTGTTGTCGGCAGTAGTGACGGTGCGGAGGGAGCGGAGGGAGCGAGTTGGGAGGAGTGGCGAGGTGACCTTGGACGCAGGAGCAGGGACGAGTGGAGATGCCAGCCAGTATATTTCGGGTGTATTAATTGTTTTTATAGCTATTTTTGCATTTTAATATTAAATACTGTACATTACGTTTCAACAAAACTACCATTTATTTCTGAGAACATAGAAATGTAATATTTTTGCTGAAATGATGTACAGTGGAAAGTGGGATAAAATTGTGACGCAAGCAATGATTTTCGCTTTCTTTCGTTCAAAAGATGTTGCCGTAATCGCTTTTCGAATGGTTTTCATTTGTGGGATTATAAGGCTAATGATAGGATAGAATAGTATTATAATACAGTACGAGTACAGTACAACAGTTTTTTAACTGAAAACCATTCGAAAAGCGATTACGGTAAAATCTTTTGAACAACGAAAGAAAGCGAAAGTCATTGTTTTCATAATTTTATCCCACTTTCCACTGTACAGTAATATGTACGTCATTTCAGCCAAAATATTATATTTCCATATTTATTTCTGAGAATATATTCATTCAGTCACAGTTAAGGTAAAATATACTTGTGATGTAATACTTTCATGATAATACGGTATTGTAGTTTTCTTTTGTATCAAATTTAATTAACAAAGATTGATGTTTCAAATGTAATGAACAAAAATTTATATACAGAATCTATAAATAAACTTTAACAAATGAATACTTTGTTTTACATCGTCCTGTGTATACCATACCATGCATTTGGCTACTTTGGGCTTGCTATGATGATGCAAGAGATCTGCCCTGGCAGCTGTACCGACACTCACAGCCGGTGGTGCGTTGGTGCGTCGTTTCCATTGTTTACTGGTAGTTACTGGTAAATATTTTTCAACCTAACGAAACTATTACCCTTTTAGAGGTCGACCCCCAATTTTTTGCAAAATAATTTGGTCTTAAAATCTCGAACTACACACAGGTATATACGGTAAATAAGGACATGGGGGGCCAGGGGTTTTTTTTTTGGGGGGGGGGGTGGGGGCAGCACATATACGTGGATTTTTAACATCCACGGCTATCTCTGTTACGTAACCCCCGCGTATGTTAAGGGCCGACTGTACTGTAATTATAGTACAGTACAGTATAGTCTGGATTTATGCGGTTTTTGTTTACGCGTTTGGTCATTTACACGGTGCCTTGCCAGAATGAAATGTTTTAATTACGCGGTAAATTTCATCATTTATGCGGCGAACGGCTGGAGAGGTCCAGACCGCCGCACCATTTTTTTACTCACACGATCCATTCTTGACCATATGCGGGAAGTGGCGCGGTGAGTGGTGCGCATTAGGCCGCTCTTACGTTATCGCTGAAGTTATATGACGTATCGGACTGTGATTGGGCCACGCATCCTTACCACCCACGCATTCCCTCCACCGATAGCTGTGACTGGTCTAATGTTACATGACGTGCCCTGCCACCAGAGGGTAGAAGTTGCTGACCTAGCCAGGCCTGTCTCATTGTTCTCAGTCCTCGTATACAGTTCTCTCTTGTGCCTGCTATTCCCCTCGCAATGGCTTCCGCTGGACCCCCACCACCGGAGAAAAACCTTGAATTACCTGGACCAAGCCATGATAATGTGAAGGAAATCATCGAGTTGGGGGAGAAAATTAAGCTCGTCCTTGACAACAACCCAAACAAGCATCGGTATGAAGTGTCTAATAACCTTCTGTCGAAAGTTATGGAGCCGTATATCCAGATCTATCTCGACAACATCAATGCTAGTCATCAACGTAGTATTGAGGACTTCCTCGCCTGCAACCCACCACAACCACAGCCAACCCAAGACAGTGATAGTGAGGATATGGACTGTTAGGGGTTTGTTTGGGAGGCCCTGCAAACCTCTGCGAGTAGTGAAAGTGATTCACCGGAGGGCAACTAATCTACCCTCTGCCTCGGAACCAGCCGCCATCCACGTGTGCCCAGCCATCTCTTCTACTAACATAAGTGTTAAAAAACCTAATATTATTGATATTTCTCTTAAATATTAATTGTGTGTGCATACCATCATAAAATTAAGAAGGTATTTTTACTACAACGTACGTATTTTGTCGGAAAACTGGGTAGTCTGGGGGTTGGCCCACTCTCTATTTCAATTAATCACATATGTTCTGTTATTTCGCTTACGCATTTCTCGTTTTAAGCGGACCTCCACGGGTTCAATTGACCGCGTAAACCGAGACTATGCTGTATATATATACTGTATTGTACTGATCAGCTTGAGTCACTGTATTATAAATGCTGTACATCTAATTAACAAGAAGCAAAGAATATAAACTCTAACAGAGAATATAAAATTAACTAAAAAGCATCACCTTCTATCTACAGATACTATTTCTCATTACTGCATTCTACTAAAATTAAATTTCAATGAGACGATGTTACTATTTTTTTAAACTAACGGTCAAATCACATTGTCAGTCTAATGATCCTAGTGAGTTCTTAGTCTTATTATTCTTATTAGCTACAGTAAAACCCCCATCTAACAAATTACAGTTTATAGATATGAAAGTGTTATATTAAGAATCCGTGAGATGTGAAACCCCATCTAACAGATTGCATGGAGAGACGTCCGTTATATGGAGGTTTCATTGTAGGTGTGTAAGACTATTCATAATCAAGGCAGCATCTGAAGCACCTGTGGTTCCTGAGGGGATGTGACTGTGAGCTGGGATCAGTATATGCACTAAGTTATGAATGCCAAAAGAAAATTATTTATCAACAACTCATGTGAAAAACTAGTAATATACTGTCCAAAAACAATTCTGTACACCAAACACATTACTACCGAACTCTTGACAGCAAAAGTTATTATTCATGGTATAAAAATGATATCAACCAAACCTTTCTCACTAAACCATATCAAAATTAAGTTAATTAACCTCGCATTACCACTGGAGGGTGATACAATATCTTCTACCCTATTGATATTTCTAATTTTCTGAATATGGTTGATAATTCAATATAATATTGAATAATATCCCAATGAGAAATATATTTAAATTCTAGATACAAATTACTGCAATTCTGAAAACTAAAATTACTTTAACAAAATGCAAGGCCACCTTTTAATCACCAGTGTAACCATTATGAAATTTCTAATTTTTTTTATAAATGACCTTATAGTAAATTAATAAAACACAAAGTATAGTACAGTATGTATTTACTGTACTGTATACATATCCTAAAGATTTTAATCTAAAAAAAAAATTACACATTAAAATACAGTATAGTACCAGTATTGTACATAAAGGCAAACTACACCTGCTACATCAATCTAAAACTTGAGAGAAAATATGTCAACAAATTATAATACAGAAATCTCCCTGTAAGTCAGAATCCCCGAACCCTGGAACTCTCCAATAGCCAGAATGAAAATCAGGCCGGAAAAATTCCTGAAAAACTCTCTCCATTCCTGGTCTGCGAACGAGTTTCCAAGGAGGTAAATCAGGCGCATTTCCAGAAACATTCGGAGAAAATATCTCCCAACCTTTCTGTTCTGGGCCCGGGAATAAAATTTCCGTGAGTTCCGGAAGATTGCATCACACTCCAACCATCTAACGCAGGGGTGGGCAAAGTACGGCCCGCGGGCCACATTTGGCCCGCCAAATTATTTCTGTGGCCCGCTACTGTATTTGTATTTACAAATACTGTACAAGGCTTTACTTTGTGTTAATATAATACATTTGCATCTACATTAAGTGTGTGGCCCGCGAAGTGTGCCACCATTCATGAAGTGGCCCTCCACCTAAAATAATTGCCCACCCCTGATCTAACGTGTCCCCATGTGCCAAGTGCTTGGGTGGCCAAGTTGCTTGGATTGCTCAGTTCATATTCCGTTGCCACTGTAGAAGGTTGTTCCCTCACTAGCTGCTGTTTTTGCATACAATTTGTGTTATGCAATACATGTACTGTACATTATTGTACCAAGATACAATTAGCCAAGAATAGTGTTAAAATATAAAAAAAGTGATTAGTTACATGTACTGTACATTCAGTAAGTGGGAAAACACTGGATCACCTTAGCTTTCGTCTTTGTTCAAGATAACTTCAGGTCATGAGACCTCCTGATCACCCACCCTGACATTTCATGAGGTCAGTAATGAGACCACTAATCCCCCCATCCCATCTCCACTGCAATGAGTCACCTCGTTAAAGGGAAATCTCTCATCCCAGGAAGAGCTCTGTCAATGGGGATATCACTAGTACTAAAACTTGAGAGCAAATATGAAGTTAGAAAACTTATCTTAAAACAAAATTTAATGTCATACGGTACTGTACAGTATGTAGATTATTATTAGAAATAAAAAGAAATCTCAAATGAGAGACGTGTAATAACATGTCACTTTAGCAAAAAAATAAATATAAAATATTCTAAGCAGATTAGTTAATTTCCTCTTATATTTCCTTCATTCCATATAAAGGACTACTGTACTGGATACTTATATCAAATAAACTTGGCACTGTAACAAATCTTAGGAACTTACATCATCTGCCTCCTTCCCAATTTGGTTTTTTGCAGTTTCCTGAAAAGAATATTAAATGTCAGTATGGTAAATGAATTAGAAAACAGTTCTGTACACATGGATCAAGTATTGACATATAGTGTATACATTATCAATTTCCCTTGTAAAATTATTTGTTTAGAAGTTTACTTTTAAAAACATATGAAACTATGGATTTGATCTCCTGGCCAACTCATTATTAATGACTCCTTCATATCTCTAGTAAATGGCTACTATACAAATGGAGAACTGTCATTATCATAAACAATCTAGATACAGTAGGGTCAGGATAATATAGCGGTTTTTTTATATCGTGACAACCAAAATTATCGATATTTCCAAATTATAGCAATAAATCGATTTATTTTGCAAAGGAAATTGGGCAGGAAATATTTCAAATGTACCGCCATGGCAAACAAATGAGTTATTTGCTCACCAGAGGCGCCAACGTGGCTGCTCACTCACGCATTCACGCTCGCCTGCACAGTCTTTCTAATTCAGCTCTTGTAAACATACAAAGCCGTAAAGTTGCTATATTGGGTCCAATGATAAAGAATGAGGCGATGGAAATAGACACGTCTGCATCAGTGAGAAGAAAAGCCAGCAAGTGAATGTACATTCACAGCTAGCCAAGGCTGGCTTCACAGCTTCATCAAGAGAGCTGAATTACACTGCGTGTCTCTGCATCGGCTGACGCAGTTGCAGTGGATAAAGTGAAGATAGATTGGAAAATAGTGGTTGAGGAAGGTGGCTATACTCCAGACCAAATCTGGAATTGTGATGAGACAGGAATAAACTGGAAAAAGATGCTGGCTGGCTGGCTGTGAGTCGAACAGCGCGAGTGATGCGTCACCAGCCGACTCTGCTGTGAGTCGAGCGGCGCGAGTGATGAGTCACCAGCCGACTCTGCTGCAGATTTCGACTTTTAAGGCAAGTGTAGATGGGTTGCTAGTGACGTGAAAAGTGAAGTGAAGATAATGAACAGCTTACTAGAAAGGATTCATTACAGTAACTAATATTTTTGGTTTGTTCGTTTATGTAGGTGTGGGATTGTCAAGTGAGGGTGGCAGTGTGGCGTTTGCTGCCAAGTCTGGTGTTCCCGGGATGGCACGTCAGCTGCCGAGTCTGGTGTTCCCGGGATGGCGCGTCAGCTGCCGAGTCTGGTGTTCCCGGGATGGCGCGTCAGCTGCCGAGTCTGGTGTTCTTTTTTTTACAGGAAATAGCCCACCCAGGCACAGGTAATCGACCCACAAAGGCACCTAGGGTGGTTTTCCCGAGTCTAGTGTTCATTGGTGCTTTAGTTAGTAAGAAAATAAACCCGTTCAGTCAAGTTTAGTCACTTTTATTGGCCTCCAGGACCTAACCATATTTTCCCCATTGATTACATGTACTGTAATTATATATCGCGATTTAGTATATGGCGAACACCCTTGGACCCTATCTCACTATATATTCTGACCCTACTGCACAGTATTATTAGCTAATACTGCACTATGAAATAAGCCGCATTTAGTAATTTTGAGTTTTCAAGTTATGAGGTGCAACTGGATACCAATTCAATCCCAATCCAACTACTGTCCATGTACAGTACATTGCAGTGAAACCTCTATTTACCGGGAATGGACTATATGGAGAAGAAAGTCCATTACAACGAGGCTCCGTTAGATGTGAAACCTCCATCTAACGAGCTACAGTATATACAGATGAGAATTCATTAAATTGAGGGTCCGTTAGATGTAAAAAAAAAAAAATCTACGGGAATATACTGTACTATGCGGAGAGAGAAGTTGGTTATACTGTATAGTGGTTTCACTGTATTCACCAGACAACTTCTGATATAACTTCATTTACCACTAAAAGGTCAACATGCCAAAAGCTGTTATGGCTGCCACCTAAATATAATACATATACAGTAGTGACTAAAAAATGTGAAATCTGTGACTGCTAATCCTTACTTTGGAAAAATCAATGTTGAAGCCTAAGTGTCAGACTTTGATAAATAACATATCTTCTGTGTTTAACATTTGTTGGAAAAAACCTTCACATCAACCACACCACAGGCCACCTGCTGTCATAGTGTTAACCACACCACAGGCCACCTGCTGTCATAGTGTTAACCACACCACAGGTCACCTGCTGTCATAGTGTTAACCACACCACGGGTCACCTGCTGTCATAGTGTTAACCACACCACAGGTCACATGCTGTCAGAGAACAAGATGTCTCCAAGAGTCCCAGGTGTTGTGTGTGCTACATGAATCAGAATAAACCAGCAGGCATTCCAGTTTTACAGATGGCAACATTGTGCCTGCAAAACAAGTTTTACCAGACAACAGTATGGCTGGACATTGTCAGTGGTGTCTAATAATAATAATATGAGTTGCCAAACTGGTATGGTACCGTACTGTGTACTGTTTCATGTCCAGCTCTGGACACCAGTGGTTAGTAAAGAATTGCAAGACATTTTAACCATTTTTACTTGTGTTGTTGATTAAATCAATTGACAGGTTATAAAATTAAAGTTTGTTACATATAATAATTGTTATAAGAATTCTAAATCAGCACAAGAACAACCAATTTCAATGACAAAAGTCACATTTATTAGGAGTGGAAACTGATGCAGGCGAAGTCTTCATACAGTACAGTACCTGTACTGTACTATCTCACCATAAATTCCTTATCTTTTCAGGGTTTAACCAATTTACCCAGTTATCAGCTGTATAAGAAATAATGATGCTATAACAAAGTTTCACTTTAGTTTAGGTGGTTAAAATTATCCTGAGTGCAGTAGTCATAGCATCACTCAGGGTGATTTGAACTACCTAAATTAAAGTGAAACTTTCTTATAGCATCATTGTTTCTTATTAAATTTTCACCCAACTTTTCTTAGATTTATGCAAGATAAGCATTTACAGTATAAACAGGGGGAAAAATGTTTACTGAGATTATTGTCCAAAAGTACATGACTTGGTATTGAGATGGAACATTTCGTATTGTGAAGGTACCAATCATTCAGCTGTACTCAATCCAAGCCTTTGTGAAAGGCAAGGTAGGAGACCAAGTGAAGCAAGTTACACTTGTATTTGCCTTAATAAACAGAAAAAGGAAGCAAGACTACAGGAAGGTCCTGGTGGTTATCAAGAGGGCCCTATCTGAGCTGCAGTTAAGGAATTTGGTGGCAGATTATGAGGCGCAGCTAGAGAGTAAGGGCAAAGCTAGGTTAAGTTCTGTACCAGATATCGCAGTAAGTTCTTTCTATTTAATGGAGTATGGGGTAATGTAAGGTTAGATTCTGTACCAGATATTAAAGTATACAATACTAAAGTAGAGAATGTATGAGATGGTTTTAATTTTCACAATTCCATCATAAACATTAGTGACGAATACAGAAGGTCACGGCAAATAGCTTCATTGGTCTTTTTTCTCTAATTTGAATACATACAAGAATTTTCATCTTTCTTTCATTGGAAATGATTTGGGTAAGATCGGGTGTAAATAGGAGCAGTAATTTGCTATGACAGCTCAGGTGCAGATAACAGTTTCAATCAATTTGTAGTTTCTACCAACCAGTTGGGCAATGTGTTTTTCTGTTGGTTTAGACAATTTTAAGACACTTTTCTTTTATGATGTTCCCTCAAAGAATTACTTAAATATACCAAGGGATCTAGGGGAGCAGAGCCCCCGGTTAGGTTATGTTAGGTAATCTTAGGTTATTTGCAAGGGAAACACCATTGAAGAAATGGGTCTTAAAATTGTCTAAATCATTGGAAAAACACAATGCTCAACTCGAGTTGTGGATGTTCGAAACTATAAATTGACCGGTTTCACTATCTGCACCCGATACCCTTGATGAAGAGGTTCAGGTGCAAATAATGATTTCATTATTTGCACTATCAGGTACAACTGTCTTCAGCCATTTTATTTAAGGATGATAGAGAAAAAATTATTCTATTGCATTTTTGGCAGAAATTTATAGGTCTGGAGTTACTTCAATTACAATTTTAAGAAAATTTGTACAACTTTGACAAGTTTTGTTTACATCTCAATCAAGTGGACTTCACATGATCAGCCTTGACCAATCAGAGGAAGTTAGTCGTTAGGTGAGATATCTATACATGCCCAAGCATTTCAAATGGAAATATTCAGTCACAGTACTCTATGTTTTCATTGTGTGAAGGTGTTCTACATTGGAATGCAAAAACCATTCAACGTGTTTTGGATAATGAGACTGCTGCCACTGACATCTTCAAGGCCTATGGTGTTTTACTTCCTTAGTGCGGTACAGACTGTCATTACTACCGTGAGGATAAATATGTTTGATTTTGATTAAGATGCAAAATCACCAAGACAAAGGCAAGGTTAGGTTAAGATAATATTAGGAAAGATTTTCTTAGGCTTGATTGGTTCAGTTGTGTTTTTATCCCATAATTTCCCTAGACTTCAAAGCCATTGCCCACTTTGAATATTCCCTGTCACTGGTGGTGGGGGTGGATCATACCTCCATAAATATTAATTTGTCAAAAATAAAGTTGCTGTTTTTTTAATGAGCATCAATTACATAAAACCTACTTTTGGTAGTGATTCCCAGCCATGTCCTCTATCAAATATTTACCACACATCATAACTATTACCCAATACAGTATACCGGTGCAGGTTGACAACCCTTTATCCGAAATTCCGAAAACCGAAATGCCTCTGGCCCTAAGGATATCGGATAAGGGATTGTCAACCTGTAATAACTGCAAGCTTTAAGCCCAGTGTCAGGTGGGTTAGAGTGCTGTTGATATTTTGCATTTTAACAAGATCCTGACCTCCACCCAAAAAATAGCTTAATTTCACACCTTTTTTTTCATTTCTGTAGCCCAGTATTTTTCTATCTTAAAATATGTTCCACTTCTTTTGGATGATATCAGACTACCCTACTGTATAATAAAACCCTGTTTATAAACCTGTGTAATAAGTTGCTTTGTTTAATATTCATCCATTGGCTGTACGCAGGTTTCCAATTTTCAATATTCCAG